GACCCTCGATGTGGCTTTCTTCAATGATGTTCGTTTGGGGAATTGTTATGGTATGTGTTAGAAGCTCTTTAACACCTTCGCAATGTAATCACTCGGAGCAAGATGTGCCACGGATTTCTACGCAACTACGGAGGGCTCGTCAGTAAGCCTGGTATACTCTGAAAGCTGATCGCTTTTGAACCCAGTATTAATTTCTAGCATTGCGAGTACTGCTTGGAGTGGCAGAGGCTGGTTTATACCCCGGAATTGTATTTTATATCTCCTGGTATGTCGATGTTCTATGTGCCTCGTATCCCCCCTTCGCGGTGCTGATATCATGCATGCAGCTGGTACAAGCGGTCCGAGCTCGGTACACGGGTAGCGGCATTCTTCACTTCTGCCACTATAGCAGGAGCATTCAGTGAGTGCATCGCAGTACATTCAAGGTTTGGTGAAATATAGTGTGTTTGTAGGCGGTCTCCTGGCCGCTGCTATATCCAACATGAATGGTGTCGCAGGAAAGCCTGGCTGGTCTTGGATTTTCATTCTCGAAGGACTCCTTACCGTATTGTGTGCGATTGCTTCATATTGGGTCATCTCGAATTTCCCTGAGACAGCCGGGTTCTTGACCAAGGAAGAGAGTAAGTAGTGAGAAATACCTCCCAGACACTTGCTCAACACTGACATGAACACAGGGGTTTTCGTCATTAGACGTTTGAGGGACGACATGCAGTTCAGCGCTGGCGGCGAGGCATTCAAAACCCAATATATTTGGCAAAGCCTCCGGGACTGGAAAACCTACTTAGCAAGTACGTCCGTTCAGGTCATCGTTGTCAGTGGTACTGAGTGTACATAGTGGGTATATATATGGGATTGTTAGTTAAAAGAGTCATAACTCCGCGATCGTTCTAATACGTTGTCAGTGATGGTCCATTATTTGCATTTTCCTTATTCACCCCGACAATCATCAATGAGGTTCGTAAATTCTCCAGAGGTTCAGACATCGTCTCTGACGTTCCTGTCCTTTAAAACTGGTAGCTTGGTGAGTACTGTCAATGTTTATCCTGCTGAAGTGCTTGACCATCGCACTTAGGTTACACAGCAACAACAGCGAACTTGCTTTCCGTACCCGTATACGTCTGGTCATGTATAGTGACCGTGATCGTTGGATTAGTCGGTGACCGCCTCGGGAAGAGAGGATATATCAATTTGTGCGCAACACCATTTTTACATAACGTTCGAGGTCTCATGGAAGCGGTAGAATTCTATTCGGAACGGGCAAGTGTTTTCAGCTTCAATGGCGAAACATAGGCTAAAAATCTTTCAGGTCTGGTTGGTTATACCATACTAATCACATCAAGCATTCCAGCATTGTCTTATTTCGCATGCTTCTTAGCTTCGTCGTAAGTCTGATGAAATGCACTCCGACTCGAACGCTAGCTTGAACATATCATCCCCAGCGCTATATATCCGACAGTCCGTATGTGTCAATCCTCTTCCACACACAGATAGCATGGAACTGATGCAAACATGAAACAGCGAATTCGGTGTTCGTTGGTTGGTTTATTCTTGTTTCTCTCACTGACCGTACTTCAGAGCATGGGTGGCAAGCAATGTCGAGGGCTCCTATAAACGAGGTGTCACACTAGCCATGGCCATCGGGTGGTACGCCGATCCACATATTGAGCCAATCAGGCAGTGTAACTGACACCAATAAAGGGGAAATTTGAACGGAGCTGTTTCCTCGAACGTCGTGAGTCCGCGAAACTAGCTCAAACTATCTGCCCCGCTTATATCTGCCCGTAGTATCGTGCGCAGGATGCACCTTGGTACAGGCTTGGCCATGGCATCATTCTTGCCTATATTGCAATCGGCTGGTTATGCTCAGCAGCATTCATGTTCCTGTTGCGTAAAGAGAACGAACGAAGGGACAGAGGAGAGCGCGATGAAGTAATCGACTGCGACAACTCTGGGGAGATAAGCGAGTTGAACTTGAAGAATGGGCGATTTGAGACAGTCAACGATGCACGACGCGAGAAAGGTGATGAGTGGAGTCAATTCCGGTATACCCTATAGATACTATTTAGTACGCATCGAGAACGGTAAGTAGAAGGGTAACACGGGCGTTGCGTGTAATCGAATATACAAAACATATGTGGTTGCCGTCCTGAGCCTCGTAGTGAAACAAGATCCAGTGTATCAGTACTGCAAAAGAAAAAACTACCACTTGTAGTCTTCTATTTTTGTCGACGTGGCAACGGGTGCAGGGGCGGGATCTACAGCACTCTGGGGGGCTTCTTCAATTGGTGCGGGAGCGCTGCGCTCATGACTGCGGTTATCATCTAGCCACTTGTCCATATCGTCGGACTTATTGGCGAACGGGCGTTTACCCAAAAGGTCAATCATATCCTCGCTATACAAACAATCGTCAACTTGAGGCAGCCAGAATGGACGCCACATAACATACCGTGTAATGACTTCCTTCTTCAGTAGAAGCTGGGCGACCTTCTCCACGTTCTCCCGGTGTAGTGTCAGAAGTTCAGTGGTTCGTTGATGTGCTCCGCTGAAATATCATTATTAGGTGATGTTGCCGAGATCATACAAATCCACCTACATGATCATCTTCCGCACCTCAGAATCCAACATTTCGCTCGTTTTCTCACTGAATGGTTTCGTCCAACTTTCCTTCTGGCTCTCACGACCACCGTAACTGACGGGACCAATGATAGTATTCATGCCATAGTTTGCGCAAGCTTCAAATGCCATGCGAGTGATCTTTTGGAGATCATCCTGAGCACCTGTAGTGATATTCTCTGGACCAAAGAAAATTTCCTCTGATACACGGCCGCCAAGGGTCATGCATATTCGGTCTAACATTTGCGGAGTCGAGAGCAAGTAACGGTCTGGAGGAAGATACTGTATGGAAAATCATTACTTGTCACAGACCGTCAAAGAATATATGTACTCACTTGCGCGTACCCCAACGCCCCAACGCCACGAGGGATAATGCTCACTTTGAGAAGCGGGTCGGCATGTTCGAGGAACCAGCCGCAAACAGCGTGACCAGCCTCATGATAAGCAACGGTCTTCTTCTCCTCCGAACTAAGAACTCTGCTCTTGCGCTCCAGACCTGCAATAACACGCTCAATTGCACTTTCGAAGTCATCCACCTTGACAGACTCGTGACCCTTGCGTGCGGCATGAAGAGCAGCTTCGTTACAAACGTTCGCGATGTCTGCTCCTGAGAAGCCCGGGGTAAGAACAGCGAGCTTCTGGGCAAGCTTGTTCGTATCAAGCTCCTGTGCTAGTCGGAGTGGTCCGAGGTGCACCATAAAAATCCCTTGGCGACCAGAGACATCCGGACGGTCAATGGCTATGTGACGGTCAAAACGTCCAGGTCGCATAAGGGCAGGATCCAGGACATCTGGACGATTGGTGCCCGCAAGTACTACAACATGCTCCTGGGTTCCGAAACCGTCCATCTCCACCAATAATTGGTTAAGGGTCGACTCCCGCTCGTCATTTCCACCGAGGTTGCTTCCTTTGCCTCTGGCCTTTCCAATGGCATCAATTTCATCAATAAAAATAATGCAAGGTGCGTTCTTCTTTGCTGAAGCAAACAGATCACGGACGCGGGAGGAGCCGACACCAACAAACATTTCGACGAATTCTGAACCAGACACGGACAGGAAGGGGACAGAGGCCTCGCCCGCAGTTGCTTTTGCCAGCAGAGTTTTTCCAGTTCCTGGAGGTCCTGATAAAATAGCTCCACGGGGTATCTTTGCTCCAAGCTTCTCAAACTTGGCGGGCTCCTTCAAAAACTTGACAAACTCCATGATCTCTTCTTTTGCCTCGTCCATCCCTGCAACATCCTTGAACTTGACTTTGACATCCGTATCCTTGTTGAAGAGCTTGGCTCTACTCTTTCCAATGCTAAAGATGCCACCTGGCCCACCTCCCGCACCACCTCCAGCTCGTCGCGACATGTACAGAAGGAGACCGGCGAAAAGGATAGTGGGAGCGAAATTAAGAATGGTATTGAAGGTAGATATCTCGTCGTGGTAGGCGACTGGTATCCGCTCGTGAGGAGGGATACCTAGCTCTGCCTGAGCCTCGTCAAGCTTCCTTTCAAAAGCCTCGACGCTGCCTATTGAGAAATAGTAATCTCCACCGAGAGATGCTGCGGGGTACATCGCGCCAGTAGCATTGGAGTGCAACTTGACGCGGACTTTCTGCCTGTTGATAACGACGAGCTTGTCGACCAGAGCTTTATCAAGGAATGCGGTGCGGAACTCCTGCCAGGTAATTTCTCGTGAGCCCGAGGATGAAGAATTGGTTAGAGCGTAGAAGATAGCAGCGGACGTGGCGAGGAGAGCAAGTTGGTTGACGTTAAATCCATTATTGGGATTATTACCACCCGGTGGTGGTGGGGGTTTCTGTCGTGGAGTCTCATCTTCATCGGAGGACTGACGAGACCAAGTTTGCTGTTGATACCGCTTGAAAAAGCCCTCGAGTCCCTTCGGAATTTCTGGACTTGCATCTCCAGATTCTTTAGCTGCACTATTGTTGGCCTTCTCCTTGCCTTTCTGCACATTTCCCTCGCCCTCTTCATTCCGCTGCGATTTGCTGTCATTGTGATCTGACGGTGTTGCATATGTCCTCTGCCATCGTGATGCACCTCGAAAAACCAGTCGACTGTCTGCAAGTCTGGCAGCGCGGAGAGAACGGGAAAGCATTGGACGACAAGGTGGAATGGAAATGACTGGACTCGCTGTACTACGGCGGAATTGAACGCTTGCGAAAATGTGCCGATGTGATTATGTCAGCCCTTTGGACGGTTTCTGCCGTTGGCCTGCGTCGTCGAAGTCGTCGACGGCCCGACAAGCTGTGCCTGGAGCAGTAAATTTAACCGTAGGCTTTACCATGCATGTGAAGCAAACAATATTTTAAGGGAGCCTCTATTGATTGGCAGCCGGCAATACTTGCTAAGATGATTCAATATTCACACTTTCAATCGCTTACTTTGATACCGTGCATTCAAATGACAAAGATGTCATTGGCAACCTCTGTACGTGGGGAAGGCAGAGGTCATATGCATGAACTTTTAACAATCGCATTTATGAGCACATCAACTGTATTGTTAGCTTTCCGCACCATCGTCTTCCACCTCAAACGCGCAACAAAATACCTCCTTGTCTAACAACACCAGCCCTTTCCCGTCGGGAGCCCATTTGATACTTTTTGTTTCGAATTTTGCTATGAAGCCTCAATAATCCTGAATGCGAAGAGATAACGGAGCAACATACTATTCGCAGGTACACCGATGCACTCCGCCATATCTTCCTCTACCCCATTCTCTCCAATCCATTCGTCACTCCATGTGTAGATACTACCACTCCCACTGCACATGGCCAAGCTGCCTTTACGGACTGGGTTCCACTGTGCCTGTAGTATTGGCTTCGAGTGTTGAAAAACACAACGCAACCGGGGAACGAATGGATCTGACGATGCTGGAAAATCGTACAAATGGACTATCGTGGGGCAGTTTTCTACGGACATCATGTCAAGTTAGGTTCAAACAAACAAACGTCTTTGCAAACCAAACCGCACTAGCAACAATGTGCCAGTCTTATTCCATTCAAGCTGGACTGCACCCGACTTCGGGTTCGGCTTCGTCGGATCTGTGCGCTGCAAGCTGATTGTTTGTGGCCCTTGTAGTCGTTCATCTAGTGGGAGAGCATTGTCAGCATTACCACCGAATGGATGCAAGAACAATATATTTCGCACAAGACAGAAATCCTCGACCTTGCGTGGTTTCAAGCCAGTTTGACGGTTCCCGCCATAGTGTCTACCAAGATCAAGATTAAGCATCGTCCACTTATTGAACCAATTAACTCACGGCGCCCACTGGTATCTTACTTGACAACTCGAGCAGTTGCGGCGGCAGACCAAGTCAGGCCATCAAGAATGTGGATCTAAAAGAGTTTGATAACGATGTTGTACACGGCGGATGCACATACCTTATCGTCCCATCCTGCTACAGCAAGGAACATTCCAGTAGGATGCCAAGCTGCATTACGAACACCAAACCCTGGATTTGGCTTGGGTGAAAAAGTCCCTTGCACATCTCCGGCTAGAGATAGGATATGCAGCTTGTACTGCCGATAAAGTGTCAGAGTGAACAATTATCCGGCTCTTAGATTTGCTATCGCAGATGACACACTTCCAAAATGCCCTCCCAAATGGCGATATGATTACCAGTCGGGGATAAAGCCAGCGATGACAGATTGGACGTTGGTACAGGGAAATGCTGTGGATGCCTTTCTGGTCATGAGCTATGAATGGAGAGAATGAGATCATGCTTACCCGTACTAATTTGTAACAGTCAGTTGTGTCATACACACCGATGGCATCTTTCGACCTATGTCGCTCAGCCAATACAAAGTAGCGGGAATCCGAACGGAAAGCATAACCTGTAATTGATTAGATGACATGACAGGCGGGCGGTGATACTAGTTCACGGTACCTCTGTCAGGGTGTATTGGAAACTGTATGTAAGTGGCATTTCCAGTGACTAAAGACCAAATAGTAACTCGAAGCTGCCGACGAATGATAAACAACCTCCAGACTGTCGGAACGGAGCTATACTTACGCCCCACTGAGAAAAACAGAAAATGTGACGACCGTCAGGTGCCCACTCAGCTTTGAGGAGGCCTTCAACGCCAGCTTCGATTCGGGCATTCCAATTTTCGTCCCGAAGCTTGAAAACCTCTACTGCGCCTTTCTTCGCAGATGCAGCGAGAAGATATTCGGAGTCGCAGGACCAGCCAGCGTGAGATATCCACCCTTCTGGCGAAATTCCCGAGCTTGATGGAGTTGTTTTCGAACTAGATAGAATGCTAGCTGTGCTGGAAGGCGCGGTGACTGTCCATGTGCGCGTAATCTGTAGAGTATCCGTTCGCCTGACAATCAAGGTGTTCTCAACAGCATTAAGGATGAAGTGAGCGCCCGGGCTGAACGACGCGAGATTTCCGGATTGTTTGTAGATTTCTGTAAAGTCCATGATCAACGGTACTGCTGGTCAATATTAACGTTGATTTCCAACTTGATATGCTTATGTAAATGAAGGTTACCATATGTGGAATTGGAGGCGGCCCTCCTGCCCCGAGTCGGACATTTACTAGTACTGTGTCTTTTCTTATCCACCACCATGATCTACTTCGTTCTCTGTTGACTATAACAGGAAACTACCCTCACGGCCTCCGAGAAAACGTACGACGACAGACATCGCACGATACCGTAACTTGTGCTTCTTAAGCAACGTCCGTTTTAACGGAATGCGCAGACTCTGCGTCTGTGCGCTGCAGTCATGTTCATCGGTGTAAATTCAGTGGAGTCTAAAGGGGGGATGTTTACCTCGGCGTAGTCTCTCAATTCAGTCTTGGTGAAATTCCCAAGCTGAGTACAATACTTAGGCAGACAGTCCATTATATGGCCAGCTATCGGACTGGGCTGGGAGATTGAGGTGTCGCCGAGCTCATCAAAATATTGTGACATGATGTTGACAATATTAATTGCTAGCGGACCAGTCTGGGAAATTTCCAGGTATCAGTCTGGAACAAGGGTTGAACGTACACGTGAACGTCGTTACCGAATACAGGAACCTTCGGCAACTAGGCAGAAATGCATTTACTCAGTTATGTCGCACTTGGATGCTGACATGCAGTATCCACTAAAATTCACTGGTGGCTCTGTTCCGGGTTGAATGTTGAACCCGAGACCTTTTCTGGTTTCAAGGCTGGCGACCGTTGGTGGACATGGTTCCAGGTTGCAGTGCATAGCATCCACTAAGCCATCCGCGCCCCGACCCCTGGAAAGTTTCGCCGAGTCTGCGGGCGCACACAGTGTGTTCCACGTGCGCACTAGCACAAAGTCTGACAGCGGCACATCGGCACACGACTTCAGGTCATCTTTTATGCGGTCAGGCTGACAAAGTTTTACCGGCACCCCCTAGCACAAATAGGTTGACAAATTTCAGACTACATCCCAACTTGATGTTACAGCTACGTCAGTACGATTGTGTCAGGTAAGATCACAATGCCCGAGGACCACGCCTGTAAAATATGGTTATCAATCAACTTCCAGACTCTTAAAATGGCACTGTAATCCACTCGGGCCCTCATTTTTCTGGCTGCACACATGGCCGACGCATCTAAAGTATCGTTTCAGACCGCCTCTACCGCCAATCTACCGCAGATAAACAAGGAGGATGACTCTACTACCACTCTCAACAATCAGTCCGACACAGACTCGTTTCTAGTCCTCTTTGATGAGGGTGACCCAGCTAATCCCAAGGTACTTTCCAGCTGCTGCAAGACTACTATGTCGATGAACTCACCAACTCATTTAGAACTGGTCTGTTACAAAAAAGTGGTACCTCACCCTCGCTGCTGGTCTCCTGGTCCTCAATGCGTGCGTACGGCATTGATCGGAAGATAATAAACGCTCACGTCTTGTTCCCTTGCCCTATCTAGTACCTTCTCGAGTAGTGCCCCATCCATTCTGGTACCCACTTTCATCGAGGAATTTCAGATATCCCAAGAGGTCGGAACGTTGCCTATTTCGCTTTTCGTGTGCGGTTACTGCGTTGGCCCTTTACTTTGGGCACCGTTATCGGAACAGTACGGACGACGCCCAATATTTATCATATCTTTCTTCATATACATGGTTAGTGGGCCTCTCCACTCCTTGCCTGCCTGTCATATAATTACCTTTATATTTAAGTGTTTCCAAATCGGATGTGCTTTGTCACAAAACATCGCATCCATGTTGATTTTCCGTTTCCTTGGGGGTACATTTGCAGCTGCCCCTTTGGCAAATTCAGGGTAGGGACTGTCCACTCCAGTGGTAATTGTTCCATTCTTACAAGAAGAATCTTCTAGCGCGCTCATATCGGACATCTGGGACGCAAACCAGCGCGGCACTGCTCTGGCGGTTTTCACCGTGGCTCCGTTTGCCGGACCAGGTATTGGACCAGTAGTTTCAGGATACCTTGTTCTGGCTGGTATATCATGGCGCTGGCTTTTTTGGATATTGACTATTTTTGCAAGTCTTGTGTCCAACTGCCATCCACCACAACTCACACATGTATTTTTAGGCCGGTGTCTGCTGGTTGCAGATTGTTTTCACGATGCCTGAAACATATAGGTCAGATCATTTTATGGAATAGTTTCTATTGGCGAGGCGCTCATCCCATAATTTTAGTCCGGTGCTTCTTGCCAAGAAAGCCAAAGAGATCCGAAAGCGCACTGGAGACGAGAGATATCATGCTGCCATTGAATTACAAAACACGACATTCTCACAGCGCCTAGAGGTCATTCTTGGTCGGCCTTTCAAAATTCTTTTTACTGAGCCGATGATGACTGTTATAACACTGTACATGAGCGTAAGTGCGACTATCTTGCAAACTGACCAGAGGGTTGTTAACATTAGATTTTAGTTTGTCTATGGCTGTATATACCTGCTTTTCGAGGCCTATCCTGTGGTTTTCACCGAGGGGCACAACTTGAATGCGGGTGTTTCTGGACTCGTGTTCCTTCCGCTGCCCATTGGCGCGTTTCTTGCGGTTGTAACGGTGTGTATACTTCATCCGTGTGCTTCCGTGTTCTTATCGCGCGTTTCTAGTACATTATATTTTTTAACCCAAGTTACGAGCGCAAAGCTCAAGAATGCAAACCAAACCCTGTGCCGCCAGAGTTCAGATTGAAGGTAGCCATGGTCTCAGCGCCATTCCTTGTCGTATCGTTCTTCTGGTTTGCATGGACGTCCTTTCCTAGCATTTCGATATGGGCGCCGATGCTGTCGGGTGGATTGCTTGGATGGAGCATTTGCTTAATATTTGTATGTTGTTACAGTTTGCATGCTGACCTAAGACTCATGACGGCTTCGAAGCTTGCCCTGATTAACTACATCATCGATGCATATCTGGCTGTCGCTGCCTCGGCGCTAGCTATAGCTACTGTCGTTCGCAGTCTGTTTGGCGCTGGATTTCCTGTGAGCAAAGATTTTTTTTTTTCCTTTCATACATCGCCTAATGATTCTCCGCCCAGCTTTTCGCCGCTCAGATGTACGATAGGCTTGGCCCTGAATGGGCTTCGTCACTACTTGGTTTCATTGCTCTGATCATGACGCCAATTCCCTTCGTCTTGTCAAAGTAGGTCTCATACAAGGATCTGCTGCATCATGTTGGGCTAACGCTGAAAAGATATGGACCAATACTGAGATTCAAGTCGAAATATGCTCCTTCCGGACCTCTACCTTCAAGCTCTCCGGCATAACTTCATCACAACTTATTTCATGACATTGTAAAATACCCATATACATATACATATCGCATAGTAACAATAACACTCAAGGCTGCTCGTGGCAGAGCCGCTATGGTAACATCCACAAATGATGAGGAACTTAATAGATGGTCAGAATGCATATAAGCTAGAAATACAATTAGTGATAGTTGTTCTGTACTAGATAGTGAAATCGAAGCGGTCAATAATATCTGCTATCATGTCGCAGAAAGTACGACCTCCACGATTTCCAATGAATGGACGAGTTGATATCTACTGGGAAACCGCCACACATAACTTGAGACTGGACAATCCAAAGATGACCAGCGGAAAAGCCACGCGACATGCATGTTAATCAAAAGGGTGTTCGAGAGTACTCGAATCCCGCATACATATAGGTCTTGAGCCAATAACGGCCAAGCTCATCATCAGATAGACGGGACAAAACATTCGTCAGGAGTTGGACCGGCCGCATCGGGGGACACTTATGACTCGTGACAGAACGACGACACGGTTGTTCAGGAAAGATAACGATACGGTCCATGCGGAGAAATCATGATATTCCGAACGACATAAGGACTCATCAGCAGATAGTCATGGGTCAAAGTGAGAAAAACATATGATTGTGCGAACAACAAACAGCCTGTCGAAAAATATACCAACCATTGACGACAGGAGCGCCGGACGCCGCAGAGATTGACTCGACAGCCACCCAATTGTACGATACGGATTAAGACTTGACATGAGTAAACCGAGGACCTCGCAGCAAACGTTCGTGTATATTTCTGTTGCAAGGGAGAGTTCAGAGTTAGCGTCAAAATAAATGACAAGTCATTAGATACAGTAACGGGGGTTCAACGTTAAGCCATGTGCGAATAGATGACTTTTGAGCCGCAGTCGTGTTTTCACAGAAAGGTAGCCTCCCGCCGCCAATAGTATCTCATCCTTAGTAATTGTGCCCGCCCTGAGGCCTGATGTTTCCCACGCTGTAAAGAGTTCAAACAGACGGCTGCACGGCGTCGCAAACTCAAACTTATTATATTTGCCTACCATGCCTCCCATGGCATTGACCGGAATCGTCACTAAAGCCGGCTGCATGCGCAAGACAGCCACTGTGACTGTTTCACGCCATGTCATCCACAAATTAACAGGAAAAGTACACCTCCAATTGGGCTCTACGAAGAACGAGTATGCTCACTCTGCCTTCAGCGCATCGAACGAAGCAAAAAGATCCTAACACATGATGAACAAGAAGGTATGTTGCCACAATTTCGTTCTCCGCATATATGCTGAGTGGTGGAATAGTCCTCCGATTGAACGATACCGTGTTAATACGAAACTGCCCTCCAATATCCGCGCGGAAGCGCTTTAAGCTGGAAAAGATCTTGAAGAGTCCAGAGACAGAGCGGGATTTGGCACATATGCAGGCTGCACAGCAGTCGTAGGGATGTGGTGGCAGTGAATTAATGTGTACGTCTGCTCGCTCGCACGGACGAACTCGCTCGCCCAACGTAGTCGTGTTCCGTGATTTTGGACCTAGTTTTCTATGGACCAATTTCTGGTTGACCAAAACCTCCAGAGTCTGCATGGCATTCTAGACCGCGTTTCGAGTCCTTGTTTATACTCGTCATGTAGAGGCACTCATTCAATAAGCATTCGTTTCAAATATATGTGCTACTGACATGCTTTTGACTGATCCAGCGTTTGTGCCCAAATGATGCAAAGCTTCACGTCTAGAGAGCCCTTGTTTCGAGGGCTCGGTGACATCAAGGCTGGGTTACTCGAGCTGGTACACTTCACACATGGGAAGGAACCGCTTCTGGGCCTGGTCAAGAACGGAAAGCTGATGGGCTATCAATATAACGTATATGATAGGGTTTATATTTATGCAGTAGTAACATGTTTGTAACCATGATATACTCCAGCAGCGCTCCTTGACACAGCAACACGCACGGCAGCAAGGAGAGACAGATCATATCAATGGTGATTTAATGCCGTCTTTAATATCTGTTGCAAAAGAACGGCTGTTACAACCTTGCACGCTACGGTAACGTTCAAAATCAGTCGATCCCGACTTCAATCCATCCATCTGATATCACCAGCCTCATTGTCAACAACGTTTCAGCTGATCGTACACCTTCTATCTTGAGCGACGGAGCTTTCCAATCGTGCTTCTTTGGATGATTTCTTTGGATTATCAGTTTGATCCAGGCCGCAATAACTCGGTCCCGACTGTTTTTTTTCATCGTCGTCCTCGACCCGATTGTTTGAACTCACATTAACCAGGATCTACGTCTCGCGCATATTTTGTGTATCTAGGAATGTCGAGAGGTATGCTACAGGCTTATTACCGCGAGTTACAAGAGGAGATTTTAGTGGACGACGAATGGGAATTCACAGAAGGTAAGATTGCTTTTGATATTGTATTTGCGCGTCAAGTGACATATTCATGGCCATGGACCCACTCCATATCATCAAGAGGATGATTCTGCCTTCATTCCTGTTATTCCACTGCCAGTAGAAAGGAGTGCTTCAAGCGACTCGATCTCGTCAACAGTCAGTCTATGTTGAGCTTCTATTCTAATATCTTTGTCGTATAACTAACACCGGCATCAGCAATCATCCATCTACTCCGGTCTGGAAGACCTGAGTGATATGATGTGCAATATGCCGGAACATGGCAAGTTACTCATTCGTCGATGTGATCTGAGAGCCTAACAACTAGTCGCAGTTTTGAATGGCACTGCAAACAGCATCACCTCGAGAGTCGACATTCCGATGGTCTCCCCTCAATTGGTTGCCGCTGTTGGCTGTAGCGCCGCCCAACCCCTTTCAGCTATGTCTGTTGGTTCATCTGATTCAGCGGAATCCCCTTCGCCTTCGAGCAGTTGGTCATCTGTCCTAGGTAAACGAAAAAACGAGGAACCTCCTGACAATTCTTTGTCTTCACGCAAGAGTGCAAGAATCAGCGATGCCAATATCAAAATCCATTCAATCGTATGTGCTTCTAGTGCTGTTTTAAGACTCTTCTTGACGAAGCTCACAGGCTCACGATCGAAATCTGCAAGCTTATTTTGACAATAAAAACATACCCTTTGGGGTACAGTGGCTGATCGCCAAAATGGTCAGTTACGATGTTCTTGCCTACGGGGACATCAATATTCCCGACTTGGATAAGCTCCGTGGCACAAATCAAGAAGCTACCCCACGTGTGGCTCAGGTGTTTGCAGGCCAGAATTCCAAGGGTGAAGCAGAAGAAGGATTTTTCGTTAAGGAAAAGGCAGTTTTGGTACAGTGCTCCTCTGGTTTGCGATGGTCGATAACTGATGTTCTGACAAGTCGCCTTGGAAAGAGCTTGACCGAGAGCACGAACTCGCTCTTGCAATGGGTAAAGGTTTCGATGGGTTCCAGCGACAGGCTGATGGTTGGTATGGAGGGAAAGTGCATTTTGGTGCAACTTTGAAGGCTATTGATAAGACTGCAACACCTGAATACCGCATTCAGCTCAATCCGCCAGAGCTTGGGTCCTCGTCGAGACTGACCCGACAGTATGGTTCCAAGAATTTCTTACGCGTGAAGGTGCCGAAGAATATTCTAAACAGGCCTCAGCATGGCCTAGTGGAGTTTTTTTCGCAACACTTTCTCCTCTGTGGTCTGGTTTATCGGGCATTTTATGCGAGAGATGGAAGTATTTTTCTCGTGGCAACTAATTCTTCGACGGATTGTGGCCGACTTCCTTCTCATGCTCACCCTCCTCCACCATCTCTGGAGGATTACCTTGACTGGCATAACCCTGTACATTATAATACGGCTCAGGTTGGCAGCATTTCTGAGAGTTCTGGAACATCGCTGACGCGTTTCAGACTGTGGCGAAATGGTCCTCGCGATTTGCATTAGGACTTTCGAATTCTGTCCCAGGTATTACCATCAGCCAGGAAAATATCATATATCTACACGACGAAGGTAAGCTATTATTATTGTTATTGATTATGGTGAAGACTGACTTCTGCGCCAAAGACCCGGGGGGTCCGGACATGACAGATGGCTGCGGGTATATCAACAAAGTTGCTATGAAAGCGTTACGTGAGCTCTTGCAATGGGACACAACACCGACGGCAATACAATGTAGGATCGCTGGCGCCAAGGTGAGAGACACTTGCTCGAGTATCGGGAAAACTAAACATCTATCTTCCTATAGGGACTCCTAATCCTACACCCTGATTCATCAGAAAATTGTTCCGACGTCCCTCGGGTTTGGTTACGCGACTCACAAATCAAAGTCGAGTATCCTCAAACTCAAAAACTATCACTTGGTCATTTAACAATTGATGTGCTACGGTCGTCTCACATGCGCTCTCCCTCCCGCCTTGGTGCTGAGACCATAGTGAATTTTGCCGAAAATGGTGTTCCCCACTCAGTATTTATTGATCTGATGAAGGAAGGTTTAGATGCTATTGTCAACAGCTTGCTTGACTGGGATGGACCAGATGCTATGTATCGCCTATGGCAAAGTGTCGCCAGAACTGGTTCCGTGGTTGGAGCCAGATTAGCTCGTGAAACTGGAGGAGAGGCACGATCAAGAGGTTTCGCCGTCAAAGACGACGATATTGAAGATGATGACGAAGACGATCTGAATGCGGTCATCGAAATTCCTCGCTCAATCGCTTGGTGGGGTGATGAGGTCTCGGGTTGCCCTTCTTCTCTTGAAGAGACGGTAATGGTCATGCTTGACTCTGGTTTCACTCCTCGCGATTGCCCAGTCCTCGCTGATAAGCTTCGCCATGTTCTCAAGACGATGGTTGACAACTTTGTGCAACGATATAAAATCGAGGTGCCCATGTCTTGTATAGGATGGATTGTACCAGGTGCGATGCTATCAATAATCAAGACTTCGTTTATTTGACCATGATGTACCTTAGACCCTTCTGGAACATTGGCTCCTGACGAAGTGCAAATTCTCTCGAAGGATTCGAAATTTCTCTGTCCTGATGGAACAGAGTCAAACGTTGTGTTGGGTGATGTCCTGGTCAGTGTTATTCAATGTCGCTCCTCATTCATTACAGACGCTGAGCCGATAATAGCTCACACGACATCCTTGTAAACTGCCGACAGATTCTCAGAAGGCATGCTGATCTACTCATCATCCATAGTTTCTTTAGCATGTTAATGATTTGGAGGCAGGTCAGAGCTGTTGAAAAACCAGAGCTCAGGCGCTACACCGACGTGATAGTGTGTTCTGTGCAGGGAACTCGCCGGTTTGCGGACCTTCTTGCTGGAGGTACAGTCAAATCATGAAATTGTATTTATATGAAGATACTGAGTGACAATTAGGCGATTACGATGGGGACAAGGCAATTGCTATTTGGCAGCCATCCATAGTGTCGCACTTCAAAAATGCTGACCTCAAATACTCTCATCCGCCTGACGATCTCTCAGAGAATTTCCATAAAAACACCTTACGAGTCGACAACTTTTTGGAACGGACACCGAGGAAGCAATTCTGAAGATCTGATTCCCCGCCTGCAGTCATTTTTGTTAGGAGGATTGCGCGACATATCGTCAGTCGGAAAGTACTCAAACTTACACGACGTGGCGGTGTACACCCTTGGATACGCACATAAAGAAACCATTCGCCTGGCTTACATGTATGTTGCAGATGCCATAGTTGTGGGACACGCATTTATATAATCACAGGTTTTGCAATATTCTCGATGGAGCGAAAAGTGGATTAACCGTTTTACCGGAGGTCATGAAGAGCGATACAAAGCTCTACCACAAGCGCTCTCCAGAGTGGAAAGAATGTGGAGAGGTAATACCGGAAACCAACGAAATCAACGCGCAGCGTCCCAGAGGCATGGCAGAATTTGTTATGGATGCGATTATGAGTCATGCTCGGAACCACCGGGACTTGAAACTGCAACAGGTCGACAGCGCTTTTTCCAAACACCACTGTCACAGAGATTCCTCTCTCGAGAAGCCGTGGCAGGATGCCCAGTCAAGGGTGCGGCGTGTGAAGGACAGCAATGAGCACGCTGCTTTGACAATGGAAATGGAACTCTCCAAGATACGCGAACACGTCGAAAAGATGCGTGAAGAGCACAGGAAGAATGTCCGTCGTAGTTTCACTGGCCTTAAAATTGAACGGCGACAGGATGTTCTTCGCTCCCTCGCTCGTGATTTCTCTGCTGCCCCTGACGTTTCATCGTTTCTTTTCTTCTCATCGGAGGAGGTGGCAAGGCTCAAGGCTTCCTACGCATATGTCCAAGAAAGCCAAAACACCGCTGGCCAATTCCCCTGGGACGTTGCTATGCGAGAGCTTGGGATGATCAAAGCGAGGAGCCTTGGTCCGTCGAAAACAGTCGCGCTCGGTTTCTATGAGAGATTTGTATTGACGCGAGCAGCCTTTAATTGATGGTTCAGTATGCGTGGATCTGCTGTATGTAGGCTAGTATCTCTTTAGTAGCATGTATATGGTGTACATTGTATGAGTAGCATTCGGGGTGATCGCGGGGTAAAATACAAAATTTGTTCAATTGAGTTGACACTCCTGTAGGAACCAATCATTCGATTCCAAAGTACCTTCATTGCGATATGCGCCTAAGAACTTGGCGTAGTTTGAGCCTGCTGAAGCTTCGTTTGGATATCAACGAGCTGCGACGTAACGGATCGTTGAGTCAAACTCGTCATCGGGAAAAATGGGCAAGCGACATTACCTCATTCTTCTTTTTCTCTGACCTCTCCTCGCCATCATTTATCTGTGCATCTACGCGTTTTCTGTGATGCTGATAAGTCTTACAGTCAATCCGGACATGAAACCAATGACATTTCGCTCTTGATAAATTCCAGGCGCGTCTCCACATTGGTTTTGGCCTCATTCTGATCTTGAGGTACCAATACAGGTCCCACAAGTTTATAGACAACATTACTGGGGGTTAACTGCAAAAACTCCTGGAAGATGGAGGTGATAAAATGAATTTGGGAAGATGTTACTTCGGCGAACCTTTTTGACCATCTCATTCTCGGAAAGCTGGGCATCGAGACGAGTACGACTCTCCACCAAACTTGCTAGTTCTGTTTGTATTTTCTGGTACTCCGTTGATGCTGATTGGAAACGGAATTCTAGAGACATCGCGAAAAATAGACAAACCACCTCGTGCCCGATATCACAGTCAGTGACTCTGATTGTTATGTAATACTACCGTTGGTACTAAACATATACCATGATATGCCAATCTGACAGTGCGCCGGTGTTCCGTCAGGAATGCCTTGGTCACATTCCTTGCGCTCATGATCTGATCGTGTGTGAGCGCTTGGCACCTCGTTTTCAACTAATAGCTAACAATCTTGAGCCATTTCTCGTATCTCCTCCCCTCCATCTATCTCATTCCCTCCAGAAGACTAAGAGTCCGCATTCGCCACAATGAAAGTCAATTGGAGTAAGGTAGACCAACCTGATGTCTCCTTTCAGCAGTTTCCAAGCCGACGATCCCAAGTCTATGGTACCAAGGGTGTCGTCGCTTGTTCCCAACCTCTCGCAGCAGAAGCTGGACTTGAAATCCTGAGGAAAGGCGGGAATGCAGGTGAGTGCCGGTGTTCTCGATCTCAGCTTTCACTAAAGTGTGCTCTCGTTTGCAGCTGACGCTGCTGTTGCAACCTCTGCCGCTCTCAATGTGACCGAACCAAGTTGCTGCGGCATAGGAGGGCGAGTCTGTTCCAAAAGCCGTCGCATAATCCTAATCTGAGAGTGAAATAGGGATGCATTTTGTCTCTTTTATGATGCCAAGACGAAAACCATAAAGGCGATGAATGGCTCCGGTCACTCTCCTCAAAAATTGTCGGTCGATTACATGCGTCAACGAGGGGTTAAAGGCGGCCAGATTCCTCTTAGAGATCTCAACTGTGTCACCGTTCCAGGTTTGTTTTTTGATCTCTCTGATCACATGACGAATGAACAAGCGAGCAGGTGCTGCTGCTGCGTGGGTCGATACTGTGGAAACGTTCGGAAGCGGAAACGTCACCGTCGCTGAAGTTTTGGCGCCTGCGATTAGGCTCGCCGAGGAAGGGTCCGTGATATTTATCCCACTATTCATCGCCAAGTTTATTGACTACTCTTGGTTGTAGAGTTCCAGTATCCGAAATTCACAGTTATAATGCAAGTTCAGCTTTTGTTCACGTTGGGCAAGTTGCTGATATGTCTACAGTGGCAGCACTCGGAACAGTTGATACAAGATGCCTCGCCGAACGGACACGAAATGCTTTTGAACGGAAAAGCACCTCTCCCAGGTCAAATCATGAAGTTCCCCAACCTTGCCAAGACTTTCCGCGCTGTCGCGGAGCAAGGAAAGGATGGTTTCTATAAAGGTCGTATCGCAGAATCTATAGTGGAGCTCGTTCAAAGTAAAGGGGGTGTTATGGAGCTCGACGATCTTGCAAAGCACAAGACGTCATTCGTAGAACCCATCAAATACACTTATGCTGGAGATGTTACTGTTTATGAGGTAAGCCGTCGATGGTGTAATTTACGAGTCAATGCTGAATTTATCGTAATGTAGTGTCCTCCCAATGGTCAAGGTGAAAATAAACGAGTCCTTATTGAGCATAACTAATGCTCATTGCCAGGTATCACTGCACTGGTTGCTCTTGGCATCCTCGAACATATGCAGATACAACAAAAGATTCCGTCCCTCTTAGAATTAGAACACAACTCGGCCGAGTATCTCCATGCACTCATTGAGGCTCTGCGGTGCGTATTAGTGGTCGAATGCTCTGGATCATGGTCGTTGACGTCTCTTTTGTTTAGCCTCGCCTTTTCGGGTGGGATCATTATATGGCTTGCTTGTGTTTCGCAACTGACAGACAGCAGACACACAATACTACGTGACTGATCCCGAGTTCAACAAGATCCCAGTCGATGAACTACTAAGCAAAGTTAGCATTCGAGCCTGCATTACTCTATCGCATCTAATCTAGGCTTCAGGAATATCTATCCAAACGCGCAGCTCTATTCGACCCTCAAGCTAGAAACCCCGATATCGTCCACGTAAGCCTCATTCAATGACTATTCGTATTCAATTTACTCACAGTCGGGTAGGGAAACCCAGTGAACTCATCTGATACAGTTTACTTCACTGGTATGATAGTCAATGCAGCTTTATGCAGCGTTCATTCACCAATCGTTCTTGTGTTTCAGCTTCGGATCAGTGGGGGAATGCATGTAGTTTTATCCAGAGCAATTATGCAGGTGTGACATTCAGTTTTGCGCAAGTGCATGCGTTGATAATTTGCAACCAAAGGATTTGGGACAGGAGGTGACATTACATTGCGCCACATGTAAGACAACACTGAAGTTTTTATATGAAGCTGTACCCAAGGGATGCGGCTTTACCCTTCAGAACAGGGGCGCTGGATTCGTTCTGCAGGAGGGTCACCCTAACTGCTTACAGGTATATCATACAGCAAACTTAATGGTGCGGCCTATTGAATTGTGCCATTTTTGTAGGGCGGAAAGCGGCCATACCACACCATCATCCCAGCAATGGCTTTACGAGAGGACGATCTGTTCCTGTCCTACGGTGTAATGGGTGGTTTCATGCAGGTATATACTCACCCCTCTAGTGGCCGTAGATATAACAGTTAAATGAACATCATAACAGCCTCAAGGTCACGTCCAGGTCCTGCTTAACATGCTGCGTGGATTTACTGCCCAAGCTGCCCTTGATGCTCCTCGATTCTGCATCTCAGCTGGAATGCCTGACCCTGATGACAAGAATCCTGCTGCCTTCGGTGTGGCCAGCGGTGGGATTAACTTTGAAGACGCCATTCCTATGTCAACTATTCAGAAGCTTCGCGGTATGGCTTTTGTTTTTTTATGGCATCCCTTGTCTGAATGAGTCTCTTTAGCTATGGGTCATGATGCCAATGTCGTCAGCGGCTGGGAAAGGGGGACAATGGGCCGTGGACAGATCATTCAGAAGATTGTTGATGCGTCTGGCAAGACTGTTTGGGCTGCTGGGTGTGACCCAAGGTCGGACGGTCATGCCGTAGCGCAGATTTAAAGGCCTCCCTCAAAAGAGGCTGATCCATTGTACTGACACACTAGAAATGCAGGTCCAATAAATGTCTGCAAATGATGTAGAGAATTATGATTATGTGGTATACTTCGTGAATTCTCTAAATTACATTCTCCTTTGTCGCTCACTTCCGACTGTCATGACACTGTTAATCAACGAGGAAAAGAATACTCGAAACACTTACCCGCTTGCTGACTTCGATACTCGCGAAGAGCGCGTGTTCTGTCAGGCCCTTGAATCTCTCTCCAACCAGATAAAGGTACGACTATAACCGTTGCATTGTCTTCTCCACCCAACTCTTCGGAGTATGATAAGATTCGTTCGGCAGCTTTCTTTGGGTTTGGTGCGCCTCGGGCAACGTCGACTATTTCTTGATCGGATAGTATGGATGACACGCCATCGGAAACGATAATCATGTACGCCCATTTTGTGCCTGTCGAGGATGTAAAAGATTATAATAACACTCCACAGGAAGTGCAATACCTTCCAACAGTATAGTTCGAACGTCTGGTTCTGCAGTCACGCCGTATGGCTTCCACTTGAGATCTCCAAGGCTAAAACTGACATCAGCAAATCACTAGAAGTAGGCGGATGTACTGCTCACGCTCTCGTATTTGCAAGAGCACCCATCCAACTGCAAGGTCATTAACAGGGCACGATGATAGAGAGCGTTGCTTTGCCTTACCGAGACTCGCCAAACGAATCAGTGATAAGTGATGAACCCATCATCCGTCGGAGACGTGTGGACTCTATAAGGGTATCGGGGTGATGATTCTCGGTCATCGGGCAGACAAGACAGTCGTTGGTGCCACAAAGGAGTACTCGGGCATCGCTATTTGCATGTTTTCTAAACGCATGTCTATGTTTATTGGAAATATGACTAACCCAGCATGAGCAACTGTCAAAACAAGATTTGAAGATGAGAAGAACGGGCGGGTATCAAGGGAGTGGAGGATTGCGACGGAGGCTGTCGCTCCACATGTTCTGGCTTCACTCTCAATAGAAAGAAGGCGGTCTAAACTTACCCCGTTTATAAACGTAAATGGAAGAGAAAATATTGCTCACCAACTTCGAAGAATGCCTGGGTAGCTCGTGCCTCGAGATCTAGCGGAGGCATGTCACTAGACTGATGTATCCAAGGAGCAAGGGCACCCCCACTGAACCTCTTGAAATAACCCCCTTGGTCCTTGATCCACAGATACAACTCTGGGACGTGAGCCTTGTCGACGGATTCGAATAACCCATGCAACTCCTGGCGTAAGAACTGAGAAACGGTAGACCCGCCATGTCTGCATGGTGTCAACAGCTGCTATGTAACAAGATGGATATGATACATACCCATCATAAAGGCCGACAAAGACTACCTGACGTGTTAATGGATCACTAATGTTCTTTGGGTTCCAATCGATGCCAAGTGTTTTCTTCAAGCCTGCCTTTAGCCCGTCAGGATCCAAGAGCAATGATGCAAAAGCATAGTAATCTTCCTGGTGGCTGTGTGAAGAGAGACTGAGCCTCCGAGCAACGAAAGGCGAGGAAGAGCACTCACCCGCGAGTACCTCTTGACGATGCCACGCCTATGATTGTGGGCGAATGGAGTGGTACACGGCCTGCGCCACCTATACAAGGTAACTTGTTCATTCAAACCTCAAAACAAGAAAACGAAGCTAACCTGGCGTAGAGAAACGAACAAAGTCGTGATACCGGCGTGAGGAAACGATAGATGGGCACAATGTTGTATTCAAGGCTTTAGACCACTGTGATAGTAAAGACGGTAATCGTTGCATGCTAGTCGCAGCTAGTATCAAGGTTTGACGAGCATTGCTTCTCAATACATGAAGCTTAAAGTTAGCTAGAAGCCACTCTGGATGCACACTGAGCTTGTCATCAAGTGTATCCGAGCCAGTGCCGCACGGACCCAGTGAGAAAACAGCATGATAAGTCACGGTGGTTCTCAGTTCCAATCCCATCGGCAATGACATATTCTACTAGCAGGAACCTCAAGTCAACACGGGTGTGCCAGTATTGGCCCAACCCCGAGAGTCCGCGACATTTATGCAACGTTCAATCGTGACAATTTTTGATATACCGACGTCGCCGTCATGGTGACCCAACCTGCGCACGTAGTTTCGCTACCACTCTGATTTTATTATATAGGTAGCCGGCTATAGCTGAACATCCAGATTTCCGTGTGCCACAACGCATGTGAATCGGCCTCAAGCCTCCACGCGATTCCCGACCCCGGATATTTGATTGATTATCACCATGTTAATATCCATCATGATGCACGTTGGGGAACGAAATTACAGTGGTTATCGGAGTTACCCAAAAGGAAAAGAGGAATTGCCAGCAGCACTGTGTACTGTGGGGGCACATGCGATGATCGTTAAACGTTTATGATGCACTCCCTACAGAATTTTTTGGACCACGTTCTTAGACTCCCCGCCATTGATCATAATGATCGCGCATATCTGCTATAAATTATGCAAATCAAGTGTTTCATTCTTCTTCTGACCCCTCTAACTTGACAACATGTTTGCGGCAGGCGTTCTGCTATTCGCTCTACCGTTCTGCATCGCAGAGTCGGCATCCAGCTATGCAGGATCAACCATTGTTGATTCTTATCCTCCCCCCAGTGCTACTAGCGACCCTTCTGTCGACGCTTACTTCCCAGATGGATCTCAAGTTGGTTATCCAGGTCCAACGCCTAGTCAGTGATAATGCTATTTGTATTTCATGTCTTATAATAACAACAACAAAAACAGCTGGTGCTGAACCTGCGGCCATTGTCACGGCTATCCCGTTCGCTAAGGTCGAAAACGCATTTCCCTTGTCAAGGCCCAAAGCAGCAGGCGGCGCAGACACCAATTTCAATGTGATGCGTCACTGGGGCAACTTGGCCCCCATGTACTCTGTGGAGTCATTTGGTCTTCCTGATGCATGCCCCATCATCCCAGAAGGGTGTGGCATCAACGCGGTACATCTCTTGATGCGCCATGGCGCCCGCTATCCAACATCTGGCGAGGGAGTTGCTGAATTTGCCTCAGAAATCCATGCTGCTGCATCGAAAGAAGGCTTCGATGTCACAGGTGATTTGGAATTCTTGGCAACCTGGACGTATAAGTTGGGTGCGGAGATTTTGACGCCTTATGGTCGCGACTCGCTGTACGTTCGCTCTCCTTTATGATACTTCTTCTGACGCTCCCCTCATCAGCTTTAGCAACGGAGTTGCCTTCCGCTACAGATATGGCGAGTTGCTTAACGCCTTCACGGACCTCCCAGTATTTCGTACCACTTCTGAGGGTTTGTCTTCATCAAAAATTGTTTTACAACGTGCTCTAATAGTTTTTTTACATGGTATAGATCGCATGTTGGATTCTGCGTGAGTGATCCATTCATTTTTTTTGCATTCTCTATGCCTGATAGTGCTATCGGTAGCCTGAACTTTGCTGCCGGATTTTTTGGCCTCAAAACTTACGAGACCGACTATCACCAGGAGATTATCATCGAGGAGAACAACTTCAACAACACCCTCGCTCCTTATGATGTGTGCCCCAACGTCAATACGGAGGACGTTGGTAACTTCGGTGGCATTCAGGGTCAGAAATGGGCGGATATCTATCTGAAACATGCTCGGAAGCGCTTGCAACCAATGATTCAAGGATTTAATTTGACTACCTCACGATTGATCGACATGCAAGAAATGTGCGCCTATGAGGTAATCACATGATTTACGCGTTCTTGGTCGATTTCTGACTTCCTGCAGACCGTAGCTCTCGGATATTCCAAGTTTTGTGACCTCTTCACTGAGAAAGAATGGGAAGGATACGAGTATTACACCGGTATGTTTCCTCAAATTAACTTTACTGTTGCTTTGCTGAACTCGGTGCTGATTTCTATTTGCAGATCTTAGTGAGCGCACTGACTTGTAGCCTGAGTCACTAACGACTTTTTCGTGAACTTAGATTTTTGGTACAGCAGCGGACCAGGCAATCCAACAGCAGCAGCGCAGGGTCTTGGCTGGGTTCAAGAACTAGTGTCGCGTCTCACTCACACTCCCATCAATGTCTGGAACAGCAGCACCAACGGCACTCTCGATTCGAACAACATCACATTCCCCCTCAATCAACCGATATATGTTGACGCTACCCACGACACCGTTATTTCCAGTAGTATGTTGCCACTTCCTTTTTTCCAATGCACGACTACTGACGGAAGGGCTTAGTCGTCACTACTCTGAACTTCACCAGTCTAGCTGCAAATGGTCCTCTGCCAACCAACCATATACCCCCTCACCGTGTACGCAGTCTCATTGACCACCGCTTGCTTCAATTCTGACCAATCACGCCAGTCTTACATTGCTAGTCAGATTGCACCCTTTTCCAGCCAGCTTGTAGCGCAAGTACTCAGTTGCCCAGCCTCAGAGGAGCCAACTCATATCCGGTTCCTTCTAAATGATGGCGTGGTGCCACTGACGGGCATCCGTGGTTGCAAGAAAGATTCGAACGGTCTCTGCGCACTGCCCAGTTTCATCAGCGCAATGCATGAACGAATTGGGCAGATCGACTATGCGCATGATTGCTTCGTCAATTATACCATGCCCGATCCCGACAATATCATCGATGGAAGATATCCTAGTTAAAAGGATGATTGGGTAAACAGTCGTATATACTCTCAAGTTTCCACCTACGGGCGATCAACCTAAAGATTCACCCGAACATTAAATAAATTTAATCAAATTAATTTCAAGGCGAGAAAAAAGAGGGATCACACTTGTGCCGGCGGACACTTGTCTAGCAACGAGCCCGTAGACTTACAACTTGAAACTCTCCATTATATGGCTGGCACGGGGACCTGACTTTAAGCGTTGTAGTGCCCTCGGCTTGTTGGATTTATCGGTAGCTCCGAGTCGGAGCTCATCACTGATAGAGCACGCAGTATAATATTCTTGAATATGAATAATGCACGTGAGCGACGCGCTATAGCTCAACACGTGAGTGCGTGAGCTGGCAATAGTTTGACTCGGATGGCCAAACATTTGACTCCATAAGCAGTCTTTAATTACTGCCATGAAAAAAGGTGTTTCTGCCATCTGCCACGCTGGCAGAATGCACCATCATGCAATCATTAATGGTTCTGTTCGGAATTACCTCAGTGACATAGTTCTAGGCCACGGCACTTAGCTCACTTGTAGTTCAACCGCCAAGTCACCCACTGTCTACATTCAAACTCGTATCCGCCTGGTCTGCTTGTCAGATGTTGTAAATGGTTTTTTCGTTGTCTTGCTCAGAAAAGCAGTAGTTGGTATAAACTTATCAAGCTATGTTTGCCGCCGTTCTGCTGCTCGTTTTGCCGTTCTGTACCGCAGAGTCTGCATCCAGTTATGCAGGATCAACCGTCGTTGATTCTTACCCTCCCCCCGGCGCCATCAAAACTGCTGTTGACGCTTACTTCCCGGATGGATCTCAAGTCGGTTATTTAGGTCCAACGTCTAGTGAGTGATAATGCTACTTGTATTTCCTGTCTTATAATCGTAATAAAAAACAGCTGGTGCTGAACCTGCGGCCATTGCCACTGCCATCCCATTCTCTAAAGCTGAAAACGCATTTCCCTTGTCGAGGCCCAATTCGGCAGACGGCGCAGACATCGCTTTTGATGTGATGCGTCACTGGGGCAACTCGGCCCCCATGTACTCCGTAGAGTCCTTTGGTCTTCCTGGTGCATCCCCCATCATACCAGAAGGGTGTGGCATCAACGCGGTACATCTCTTGATGCGCCATGGCGCTCGCTATCCAACCTCTGAATTTGGACTTTCTCACTTCGCCTCTAAAATTCACACTGCTGCATCGAAACAAGGCTTCAATGTCACTGGTGATTTGGAATTCTTGGCAACCTGGACGTATAAGTTGGGCGTGGAGATCTTGACGCCTTATGGCCGCGACTCGCTGTACGTTCTATCTCCTTTACGATACTTCCTTTGACGCTCCCCTCCATCAGCTTTAGCAACGGAGTTGCCTTCCGCTACAGATATGGCGAGTTGCTTAATGCCTTCACGGACCTCCCAGTATTCCGTACCACTTCTGAAGGTTTGTCTTCAGCGAAAGTTTGTTTTACAACGTGCTCTAATAGTTTTTTTTACATGGTATAGATCGCATGTTGGATTCTGCGTGAGTGATCCATTCATCTTTTTGCGTTCCCTATGTCTGATAATGCTATCGGTAGCCTGAACTTTGCCGCAGGTTTTTTTGGCCTCAGAACTTACGAGACCGATTATCACCAGGAGATTATCATCGAGGAGAACAACTTCAACAACACACTCGCTCCTAGTCGTGTGTGCCCAAACTCCAATACGGCGGATATCGGTAGATTCGGTAACACTCAAGCTAAGAAGTGGGCAAATATCTATCTCATCGATGCTCGGAAGCGCTTGCAACCAATGATCCAAGGATTCAATTTGACCATCTCACGATTGGTCGACATGCAACAAATGTGCACCTATGAGGTAATCGTGTCATTTGCGCGTTCTTGGTCGATTTCTGACATCCCGCAGACCGTAGCCCTCGGATATTCCAAGTTTTGTGACCTCTTCACTGAGGAAGAATGGGAAGGATACGAATATTACGTCGGTATGTTTCTCTCAAATTATCTTTGCTGTTGCCTTGCTGAACTCGGTGCTGATATCTATTTGCAGATCTTAGTGAGCGCACTGACTTGTAGCCTGAGTCACTAACGACTTTTTCGTGAACTTAGATTTTTGGTACAGCAGCGGACCAGGCAATCCAACAGCAGCAGCGCAGGGTCTTGGCTGGGTTCAAGAACTAGTGTCGCGTCTCACTCACACTCCCATCAATGTCTGGAACAGCAGCACCAACGGCACTCTCGATTCGAACAACATCACATTCCCTCTTGATCAACCTATATATGTGGACGTTACCCACGACACTGTCATTTCCAGTAGTATGCTACCACTTCCTTTTTTTTCCAATGCAAGACTGCTGACGGAAGGGCTTAGTCGTCACTACTCTGAACTTCACCAGTCTAGCTGCAAGTGGTCCTTTGCCAACCGACCATATACCCCTTCACCGTGTACGCCGTCTCATAGACCTACCGCTTGCCTCGATTCTGACCAGTCACGCCAGTCTTACATTGCTAGTCAGATTGTTCCTTTTGCCAGCCAGCTTGTAGCTCAAGTACTCAGTTGCCCAGCCTCAGAGGGGCCAACTCATATCCGGTTCCTTCTAAATGATGGCGTGGTGCCACTGACGGGCATCCGTGGTTGCACGGAAGACTCAAACGGTCTTTGCGCACTGCCTGGTTTCATCAGCGGAATGCATGAACGGATCGGGCAGATTGACTTTGCGCATGATTGTTACGGTAATTATACACTACCCAATCCAGACAACATTGTCGATGGAAGATACCCTGGATGATATATTATACCCCGGAGAATATAATTACAACCATGTGGTTGTGACACCTCGCGTGTATTTCATAGGATCGACGATCAACGACCATTCAACGGGGTGCTCCTCCTCTTGACCCGTTCAAGTTGTTGGTTTCCGCAGTTTTCTTTCTTCGCTTGCAATACTGTTCGCCTTGCCGACCCTTGATATTCTCACCATGTATTTTCCCTTGCAAGACAATCATATATTTTTCACTTAAAGATTTACCCCAAGTCCGGCGGATGCGAAACTTTGTCTCTGTGATCGATCGACAGCTCAACGACAGCTAGTTTGTCTCATTTTGTTCCATATTAGGGAATTTAATTGCCAAATGTGCAGCCCCTGAAGACGACTTGATCAATAAAAACACACGCACAATCCGAAATACGGACGAGCGGCGCCTATAAAAACAATTTAAGTGCAGAATGTGGTGCTGCCGCAACAACTCGTCGTCTACACTATGGCAAATTTGCTGCAGGAAAGTTCGACGGCTTTCGACTTCAATGATAGGCTGGGCCTAGTCTTCATCGTAGAGGCGGCAACACTATCTGTGCTGGCTATCTCAAGTCTTCTCGCATACATTACTGTAGGTATCATATTCAGTTTCCAAGCTCCCAGACTTACCACAAGCTCCTTAGTATAGCGCTGTCACAATCCGAATGGGTGCCACACGCAGATGGTCGACGGACACTCACGTTCATTATTATTTCTTAAATCTAATGCTCTTCGACCTCATCCAAGCAATCGGTGAGCCATTCATTAAAGCGCCAGTACCATGGTCTTCTAACAATCTTGCAGGGGGGATGTTCGATATCGCGTGGATTGATGCCGCGGTGGGTTAACACTTTGTATCATGACCGCTCAATAAAACTGAGCTTGATCCGCAGGAAATATACCCCGGCACCATATGCACCGTGCAAGGTATCATCATTTCTTGAAGTAGAGCCTTGGGCGCCCATTCATCGCCATCATCACAGGTGCCTTCAAACATGTGGGAAATACTGGGGCAGCTTTCAGGCGAGTCTGAAATATCATTTGGTTTTACATCTAGATGCTAATTAATTTTCGCATAACAGTACGATTGTAACTACTTCTTCATGGAAACCTTTCTCGTGCTAATTTGTTTCTGCAGTTTATTGCCTTGCACACGATGCAGGTGCTGGTATTGAGGTGGACGTCCCCTCCAAAATCAGCGTTATTTTTCTCAGTCATCATATGGCTAATCGTTGGCCTGATGGTCGGAATCCCGAATATAATTATTGACGATTTCTATGGACCCACTGGGCATTGTACGTCCGCGATTCAGTGAGAGAGGTCATCTACGTGGCTAAATACCTTTGCATTGGACAGGGTGCTGGATTGAACGTAACAACTTCCAACGAATTGGTCTTCAATATATGTGGATGTGGCTTGCAGCATTCATCACTGTCGTTGTTTACATCTTCCTTGCTCTTGTGGTCAAACGGATCATTAGCATTGATGGACACAAGATTCGATGGACGTCCCCCGAGATCCGGAGTGTCACGCCGTCCGATGGTTCTGATCCCCGACAACGGGGAGACGAAGGAAACATCGCGCTACGAATGCTCTTGTGAGTTTGATGATGGCCCACAGTCAGCGGACCGTTCCTAACCTTTACTTTTCCAGCTACCCTGCGGTTTACATTGTCACAGTAGGTGGACTTACTCATTAGCTACTTACCCTCTGATCTTTTCGACAGGTGTTACCTATCACTGCTGCCCGCTTCACCCAGTTTCATACACAAAAAGTCCCCTGGGGAGTGACGGCTTGGGCAGACACCCTTCTTCTCTTGTCGGGATTCTTCAATACGATCCTATATACTCTGACGCGCCCAAAGCTCCTTCCACACAGACGTCGGTCGCCCTCGCGGGTTGTTCTAACATCCAGTGGCTCGAATCTTGGTAGGACTAACCGGTTTCAAAACCACAAGCACTTTCATGATCGTTATGATATGAAATCTGAAGAAGGAGAGCTCCCTTCCATGAGTTATGAACTCGGAGAACCCCGGCGCTCCTCATCCGAGTTGCGCTTTGCTCACCCTGCGATAGATATCAAGCAATGATTGTTTTGTATTTTTATGGGACACAGTTCCCGCTACTATGTTACTCGCGCTGCTTTATGACAGTGCGTGCACAGAGTCCAGATTTTATACTTGTATTGCAGCACGTTTAATCCAGCTTTGACACTATGTAGACAACATCCTTAATGTTATATTGCAATTAAATGTAAATGTTGTTTGTGGCCCATGGGGCGAATGACCCGGATTCAGCCACTTCAGTGGTGGCAGTGTACTATTTGCTAATAAGCTTAGTTCACCGTGCTCGGAACCTCTCGCACAAGGACTGACTCGGTGGTCTCCACAACATCTTCAACATAGACATTACCATGGGGTCGAGCCAGTCGACACCCAAGGTCACTGCTCATGATCGGGCGATTCTTGAGTGCGTGGTCTTTCTTGATTTCTCAACCAAACGGTAACGCCAAACAAGTGTATCTGTTATGTAGTCTTAAACTTCAGCGCGATAAGCTGAAGCAGTACCAGAAGAAGGTTTGACTACACTCATAGACGTTGTGCGTCTATAATCCTTTGAATATAGATACAAGTTGTGCTCGATCGTGAGCATGAAATTGCGAAAGCCCACCTGGCTACCGGTCAGAAGGACCGTGCCGTCATAGCCCTCCGAAGGCGCAAGTATCAGCAGAGCTTGCTGCTGAAGACCGACAGTCAATTAGAGAACTTGGAACAATTAGTCCGCCTCATCCATATTGTTCAAATGTTCGCTGAAACCCTATGTCCCTCGTAGGTATCCACCATCGAGTTTTCTTTGGTCGAGGTTTCTGTTCTTCACGGTCTCAAGCAAGGAAATGAAGTTCTTCAAGAAATTCACCGTGAAATGAGTATTGAGAGCGTTGAGAAGCTCATGGATGAGACGCAAGAAGCGAGAGAGTATCAGCGAGTATGTTATAATTCTGCGCTGCTTGTGTTGTATTGAGGGTGGTGTACAGGAAATCGGTGATTTGCTAGCGAACCGATTAACACATGATGAAGAGGACGCCGTGCAGGCGGAGCTCTTGGCATTACAAGGGGATGCGGTCAGTACGAGCTGTCGGACATTATTTCACCCTTTTCACATGATATCTAGCTTGGACATGCGGATCCTGAAGTGCGCCTGGAGTTGCCATCTCCACCTAGGTCGCTGCCACTTGTTTCAGAAGGTCAGAATAGTTCACGATTGTCGGACGGCCTTCATCCTCATTTCTATCTAGAAGCCCAACAAGTACCCCAAGAGAATAGGAGAGAGCGAGTTCCCGTACCTGGTTAGCACGGATACTAGTATCAGACATTTTTATTTTTGTATTACTCGTATCCTCATTCGGGGCCTAGGCCTTCTCCAGACATCTATAGATACTACGACACTACAGTAGAATGGCAGTTAATGATACAGATATTTAGACGTCAGACTAGAGCAACAGTATTGGTCTACTACCAACTGTCAAAGTTTCCAAACCCTATTTTTCGCTTCTTTTTGGCATCGTCGCCAACGTCATTGGCTTGTACGCCAGGTGTTCCCTGATCCAACGACCTCTTGATGCCGAGATACTTGCCCACTCCCACTCCCACGCCTGCAGTACCCCCACCAAAGGCTGAGTCCCCAGTGCCAACTTTGACCCCAAACCAATTAATATCATCCCCTTGAGTCTTCTCAGGTTGTTTCTTAGAATCATCCTGTGCTTCTGCACGCCGAGCAAGTTTTCTTGCAAGCCGTGCTTTATATGCTTCAAAGGGATCTTGGTGTCTAGAAGGGAAGGTATTTGAGCGTAGGTCTGAGCAAAAAAAGCAACATATGCACATAATGACTTCTGTTATCCGCACCGGCTTCGCTGGGCGCTCTGTTCCATCTTTACGAGGGAGTTTCTCGAGAGCATCGAGGACGTCGTCTCCCCCAACTAGCTTACCGAAGACAGTGTGCTTGTTGTCAAGGTTCGGCGTAGCTTTGAATGTGACGTAAAATTGCGACCTGTAGTGGCACTCGTCAGTGAAACAAACAGCAAAGGTAAACTGGCAGACGAACGTATTCGTGCCAGCGCCCTTGTTGGCCATGGCGACGATACCACGACTATCATGTTTAGCAGCATTTCTCATGTCATACTCGTCTCGGAAAGGAGTACCCCAGTGTGACTCTCCACCAGAGCCTGTACCAGTAGGGTCACCTGTTTGTACCTACGGCGACATGAATATCCAATCTCGCGAGACGAATGAAGAAGTACCATGAAGCCAGGAACAAGTCTGTGAAAGAGGCAGTTATCGTACTTTCCTGCTCTCGCAAGCATGAGAAAGTTATAACAGGTTTTTGGTGCCTGGAGGGAATATTAGTCACATCAACAAGAGCACGCAGGACTGACCTTGTCGCAATACAACTCCAGGTTCAACGAACCGCCCAAACTGGTCACAACTCGGACATATGCTCTTCGTTTTCCAACGTCTTTCTCTTTACCTTTACCCTTCGGAGGATTCGACATTTCTTCGAACATCAATTCTTCCTAGGCTACCATCAAGAAGAATACTCGTCACAGCCGGTTCTTTTGCGCACCTCGTCCCACAGTAGTTGTGAGCTTTGTGTCTGAGGATCCACAGACGTTGACGTCAATGATGCGCCAGGTGCGCCGCTAGAGTAAGGAGATATGTTCCCTGGCATAGGACTCAGGCTGCATCCTGTAGTGAAAAACGATGGAGCTCACAAGGGACAGCGGCTTTACCCTTCACTTCAGAGACTGCTTTAACAATAGCTGGTTTGGGCTTCTCATCCTTCTTTGTGATGGCAGTAGCAGCAGTATTGATTGTAGACATGGGTGGGAGACCATGGGGGTTTTGCAATGTGATGACGTCCTCCCTGCAAGAGTAGCGCTGAGTCCAGGATGATGAAGAAAGACTCAAACACTAACTTTTTAAATTTAGCATCTTCGAGGAGATCCTTACCGCCTTTGATACTTTCCGCAAGGAAAACATTTCCTGTGGTCGCAATTGCTACTATATGCGAGTGCTCGCTGAATGGCTTGAATGAAATTGGATCATGAATTTCACCCGATGTTTTGCGCGAATAGTGGAGTGTTATCAGGTCACTGGGTGCGAGGGGCTCTTTTGTAATAGGATTTGTATTGTTATGCTGCCTTTGAAAGGAAGCATAAGACAAACGTCACCTTGCAGGAAGAGAGGACAACTTGCTTTAGCCAAGGAATAATGTTTACAAGGTCAAATACGAAGCCTGTTCCATCCGCGTTGCGGGCGCATACTGGATGATTGAATGGTTGGAAAGAAAGCGTGCAACAGTCGAATGGTGTCTGCGCTCGAGGGTGCGGTCCTTGAAGCTTTCTGTGCAAAACATGAGAACTCCATGATTCAGGCGCAGAGAAGACTTACGCTTTATATCCAGATGAAGAAGAATGCTGTCCGAATTCACCAGCATGTTCTGCATGTGTGATATAGAGTTTGTTAGAATTTCCGTGGCCCATGTTGCAGTTGGTTTGAGATTGAATGTATGATAACCTTCAATTCTTTCAAATCTAATAAAAGTAAACAACATAATTCACAAATCGGAGCTCTTCTTTCATCCTTTTCAGCTTGCAGATGCTGCGTCATGCCACCACAAAAACAAGGCGGGCTATTGTCGTGCTTGATTTCCTTGCGCCAGCTGCGTTCGGATGCCGTCTTGCTAGCTCCAAGGTGCAACCGCGACATTCGATGACAAAACTATCCAAAGGACACGACACGGAGAGACTTGCAGAATTTCCAGCATCCGTATGCACACAAAGCCCGGCTATTCTTTGTGAGAACATCAAGCAACGTATCAGCTTACTGAGCCAGTCAGGCATTGCCGCTGTCTCTGACCCAGACATTCACTTCTTTGACGAAAAGGTCGTCGAGCTTCGTCAAGCACTCAAGGCTCGTGACATCACGCGAGTACGAGAGCTATGGTCGCAGTTGGAAGATAGAAAGTTGCTGCGACTCCTTGGTCCAGAGTTGCGTGGATTTTCCCAGCGCGCTGCTCGGCTGTGCTTCACAGACAACTCTGAGCCTTGGAACACAGACGAGAGGGAGGCTATTGAGGATATAGCCGTTTCTGCCGCCTTTGAGGGCTCAGTTAATGCCCTCACGACTTGTATGGTCGCACATATAAAGAAAGGCGACTCGCAGGCAGCCCTTCACCTGTACAGACGTTTCATGGTTCACTCCAGCAACCAGACCGTGTCTGAGCCCCTACCATCCCCAATGCAAGAAGATGTCGAGAATGAGAATGGGCTAGCTCTCGATTTTCTAGGCGATCAGCTATCCTACCAACCTAATCTCTCACTCGTCTTCGCAGCAATAGCCGCACATGCACTCGAAGATTCATTCGAGGGCGCGCTGAAGATAATGCTTGATAATCCTGTACGCATAAATCAGTCCGCTCAGACAGAGTTTCTGGCTTCATTTAGTGACATCTCGTTTCGGGAAAAACTTCAAAATTACATCCGCCGCCTTGACATTGCAAGACTCATATCTCGTCCCCACTCACTCACCACTCATATCACAAATATCTCAAGCAATCAAAGTCTTTCACAGACCCAGACCTTATACCGGGCGATTATCGATGGATTGAATGGCCCAGAGCCATATCTCGCTGCCCATGATTCCCAGAAGTCCAGTCAAAGACCTGTCGTGATTCAAGAGATCATTTGGTCAGCATTCTTGACAGGGTTCTTACGGTGCTACCGTCGGGACCTGGCGGAGAATCTCTGGGATGACATGCTTAAATGTGGCATCAAGCCTGGTGTCATCACCTGGACAGCGCTTTTGGATGGGTTTGATAGCATGGGAGAAGCTGATGCCGCTTCCACCAGTTGGGATAACATGGTTTCCCAAGGAATTCGACCGGGAATTTTGACATATCGCGCTGTCATCTCGACATTATTCAACGCTTGGAGACCAGATGATGCTATTGCGAAATTCGCAATCTTCAAGCAAGAAGTTGCTAATGGTTCGTTACCGAACACTGGGGACGCATTGCCTGTGTACAATACAGTGCTGCACGGTCTTCTCATTAATAGACGACCTGGTGACGCCGATGCGCTGCTGCAGAATTTACGGCAAAATGGCCCAAAGCCAGACATCGTTTCCTACAATACCTTCCTGCGTTACCATGGCCGCAGAGGCGAATTCCGTGCGGTATCGGTGTTGCTCGAGCGCCTCCGAGAAGATGGGCTGAATGGCGATGCGTTCACATTCTCTTCCGTGCTTTCAGCTCTTCTCAAGGTTGGGCGCACTGACGCTATCGACATCATTTTCAGTCTAATGAAGAAGCAAAATGTGGTGCCCAACGTCGCCGTCTTCAGCGCGATCATAGACCAACAGCTTCGTGAGCCCTTGGAGGAGAGTCTCAGAACGGCAATGGAGCTACTTCACAGGATGGAGACGAATCCGGATGCCCAACCCAATGACGTGACATACACAGGGGTGCTTGCATCCTTGCACCGCCAGGTATGGCCCAACACCGCCCTAGCCGAGGAATGCAGGACACACGTCCTTAAAAGGATGAAGGAGCGAAACATCCAGTTTAATCGGGTGACCTACCACATACTGATCAAAGCATGTTTGGAGAACCCGGAACCAGAAGGATTGCAAGAGGCATTGGGCTACTATAGAGAAATGGCAAACCAGAGAGTCCCAATGAATTATGATACATGGTATGTACTACTACATGGGCTGATTTCAAGGGAGGAATGGGCAGTTGCAGATGAGATGGTAGATGACCTCCTGAGGTATATCAAACCGGTTGGGGCATTGGAGAGCCTGGTTGGTAGAATCCAACGACGGAGAGCTTGGAGGATGAAGTTAGGACCAAAGTTTTATGTCTGACGTAGACATACCTGCAATATAATACGCATCGTTCACCACGAGAAGAATGACCGTGCCAAAGGTTTCTCGCCCATGAAAAATGACTTGCCCAGTCCGACACGAGTGTAACGATCGTACACTGCAAGACACGTTGTTCGTAAGTGTAGACGGACATGATGCGTTTGTACATACGCCAATAACTACATCTCCTGCCAAAGTACTTGCCCACCCATGGCAGTAGTAAGACGAGTACAAGCTGCTGAAGCTCTTCTAAACTCTCGTTCCACTCTTTCTGGGCCAAACGGTAGTCTTCATCAGAATCATATGATGCATTTGATGAGGAGTCTGAAGAATGGTCCGAGCGTGGCATGCTGTAGCCTGACTTTGCAGTATCTTGACGGAATGGTCTCCAAATGAAGTAGCTCTTAGTTGACAAGTGGAGTCACTCGGCGGGTGGCGTTGTACGTTTATTAAGATACTCCACTTTTAGGCATCGACGCTTTCTCTGCTTTCCCCCCTACTTCTGGTTGTCAACTCTTTCCTACCATCATCAGTCCATGCATTATGGTGGATGTTGCTCTTCTACCCTCCCGACGTAAATTAGTCGGGCAACCTCTCCTTTACGCCATATCTGTATTCGCTAGTTTGGGCGTTTTCTTGGTACGCTACATCACAAGACAAACGAGGCATAAAAAAGCTAATGATAGGCGATACTTTCTAGTTTGGATATGACCAGGGGTTCGTTATATGCATCTCACAGGATTAATAGCTACTGAGTCCAGGGGGCAGCGTCATGTCAGGTATCATCACTGGTCCCTATTTCAAACAGTTTTTCAACACTCCGGGTCCTATTGAAGTTGGTACCATGGTCGCAGTTCTCGAGCTTGGGGCACTTGGTATGTCTTCAATGATCATTCTTGCGCTGTATGCTGATATTCCACAGCTACGTCGATTGCTGCTGGTCGCGTTGGCGACATAATCGGCCGGAAGGGGACCCTCTTCGTTGGAGCTATCGTTTTCACCATTGGCGGTGCTGTTCAGACATTTACCACAGGTTTCTACGTCATGATCATTGGTCGAGTGATAAGTGGCTGTGGAGTTGGGCTCTTATCGTAGGTCCTCAAGGTTCAAATTTTGTGCAGGTACTCAGCACATTTTTCAGGACAATCGTTCCTATATATCAAAGCGAGATATCTCCACCCGATCATGTAAGGTCTTAGACTTTACACGTTTATGCTACTAATTTCTGCAGAGAGGTGCTCTTGCGTGCATGGAATTCACCTGTAATGTTTTCGGCTATACAACCTCTGTTGTAAGTTGTCTTCATCTGTTGCAGTTATGAAGCTGGTGAGCTGATACTCCCAAAAGTGGGTGGATTATTTTTGTTCATTCATCGAATCCGATCTTTCTTGGCGTATTCCCCTTTTTCTGCAATGCGTCATTGGAAGCATCCTTGCTGCGGGAAGCCTGCTTATTCCTGAGAGCCCTCGGTACGCCGTCTTTCCTTGTTACGGTGATGTGCACTGAATCTATCCAGGTGGTTGATCGACACTGACCAAGATGTTGCTGGGATGAATGTTATCGTGGATCTGCATGGAGGAGATTCTGATAACATTCTCGCCCAAGCTGAATTCCAAGAAATCAAGGACAAAGTCATTTACGAGGTGCGCTAATGGTCGGTGCAGTAGTCATCACTTTTACAATTTGACAATCACAGCGTGAACTTGGGGAAGGTCGCTCGTACGCTGTGATGTGGAAGAAGTATAAACGACGCGTGTTGCTTGCCATGTCTTCCCAAGCATTTGCTCAGCTGGTAAGCTTCTATTATTTTACCCATATCATGCCGTTATGAACATGTTTTCCCAGAATGGAATCAATGGTAATGTCTCTGCCTTTGTGCGGCATTCATGAAATTAATGAATCTAAACGACACCTAGTGATTAGCTACTACGCTCGTACGCATTTTATTTTACACTGGAGTGATCTTTGACTGATCCGTGCGTGTTGTTTAGCATCTGTTTTCGAAGGTATGGGCGGACGTATATTTCCTTCCAGCGAAAATCTCATTGCAACGCAGAGGCCGGGTGGCTTGGCCGTGATGCTGTGCTGATGACGGGCATCAACGCCATCATTTACACCTTGAGCACCTTACCCCCGTGAGTGGCTCCTACCAACAGTCTTGTTAGGAAGACTAAACGCTTTTATAGCTGGTACCTCATAGACCGTTGGGGTCGTCGCGCTATTCTGCTTTCTGGTGCCGTTATCGTTTGTTCTTTTTCTGATTAACGGCCTTCAAGGTACTCACCTATATGTAGATGGGCATCGCCCTTGGCTTCACTGGCTGGTGGATGTACATTGACATACCAATTACACCCAATGCGGTGGTGATTTGTGTTATTGTCTTCAATGCTGCATTCGGCTATAGGTAAGCTTTTGCGGGACATTTCTTGAGCCTTCGATATGATATTGTCTTAGTTGGGGCCCTATTCCATGGCTCTACCCCCCCGAGGTGATATTTTTTTCCGCAATAGCCCAATAAGATGCTGAACTTACTCCAGATCATGCCCCTCACATTCCGTTCCAAAGGTGTATCTATATCAACTGCGACCAATTGGTGAGCTCGAAGCGTCTGTCGCATGTCAGCCAACTGATATGACCAGGGCATTCAATTTCCTCGTCGGAGAGACGACCCCATACCTCCAAGAAGTCATTACATGGAGATTATACCCTATGCATGGGTTCTATTGCGCATGTAGTTTCATTCTCGTTTATTTCTGTAGGCAGATGATCTTGCACACTGGTCTCTATGCTCACTAGTTGAATGTAGTGTATCCCGAGACTAAAGGTGTTCCTCTCGAAGAGATGGATGCTGTGTTCGGTGAAGGTAAAGCTTTCCAACTTCTTCCAGTCGAGCGGTATTGAATGTATCTTCGCAGAGGAGAGGCTGGATTATGAATCCGAGCGTGCATCTCTGATGTCCAATACCCGCAGCCCTTCGGTACGTTCTGGCTCTCGACGTAAGGCTGCCACCGAACGTGGATGGGTTAGCCGGTTACTCTACCGTGACGACAGAAGTACATACCAGCCCATCGGTGAGGGTGATGAATAGGAACTCGCGAGGATTGGAGGTGACCACGTGAAGGCGCACGAAGAAGATTTGCATCACACGAGGGAGCAGCTCTCACCCTCCTCTTCTTCACCCCCGTCTCCTGTTGCTGCTGCAGTTGCCAATTGAAGTGCTATTTAATTGCGAGACAGTATGTCAGTGTCGCATGCGGCAATGTTACTTCTCTGGCATATATACTTTCATTTATCACCAGCAGTTGTGCCTTCCAATCCTCATGATACGCTACGTACTGGCTCACAATTACGATTTTACTTCGTTGACATCATTTATGTATCTTACTGGTCATTACTGAGTACTGTACTCCCAACCACAATATGATTTTTTTTGCTTGTGTTATATATATTACTCTGGTGATGTCACGTGTCCGCATGAGTTTTGCTTCACCTCCAGTAGTTGCGCTGTATCGTAGCTGGGCGCGTCAGTCAGTCTGCAGGAAGTATGGACTACTTCGCTCAATGAGCCATAGCTCGGAGACACATGCCAAAGAGGTGTTGCACGAGAACAGCACAAGGCGAGCTCCACTAGATGTGACCTTCGAGTCCCTTGGAGTGGGGACACCAATTGCAGCGGCCCTCCGTGCTGCATTCCCCAATGTCCAGCAACCCACGACAATGCAGCGTAAGATGATACCTGCTGTATTGGGCAGGCAAGATATTCTCTTGCAGGACTTCACAGGTACTGGAAAGTGCGTACTTTTGACTGAATGCCGACTCAAACTAATGTCATTCAAGGTCATTTGGATTGCTACTTGGACTCCTGAGTAAACCAAGGATCTCCAGATACGATACGAAAAATGGAAAGCCTCAAGCAATAAAAGGGATTACAACTCTTTTGATCGTTCCACACCGTGACCTTGCATACCAATTTTTGCACTGGCTACACCACATGCTGACGTCTGCGGGTGAACCTGGTCCATATTCGCTCGCTTCGATTGCACAGGTATTAGTCCGCGGCTCACCACCCGAAAACCTCAAAAGTTCATCTCCTCGGATTCTGGAGGCGATTGTGAACCCATGGTCATCTGGAATATCCGTGCTCCGAGATCATCCTCCGCATATACTTATTGCCACACCAACTGCGCTTATGGACGTGCTTCGCAAGGAGCCGGAAGTGCTCCAGTTATCCACGTTATCGACTGTCGTCGTCGATGAGGTGGACTGGCTTCTGAAAATGGTGCCCAAGAAAAGCAAGTATGTCACAGAAAAAGCGGCGCGGCGGAGGCAGATGCATCCTGAAGTTCTGAAAACTGTGCTCGACGTCCTTTATACGAGCACGAAAACGAACGAGTCGCACTTTCTGCGGAAGCGTCTTTTGGGGATGAAGTTAGCCCCGATTCATCGGCCGCAACTAATCATGCTCAGTGCAACAATGCGAAATAGGTTGAGGACGGCTTTCTTTGGCGCTTATGGGTGGTTTAGAAGGGGAAAAGTACTGAAACTCATCAAAGCTTCGTCCGGCTCACGTCCGGCTCACGGTCTTAACCGCACGGTCACACACCATGTTCTTGTCATGTCACAGGATGGCTCTGTGAAAAATATAGCTGGCGCTCGCAAAGCTCGAGTCCCCACCCTCTCCGGGCATGCGAGTTCTTCTGAGGAACAGGACGAAGAAGAAGAGTTAATTTTTGATGAAGATGATGAAGTACTGCTCGATGACGAGACTGACATGGGTGAGATATTTTGTTTTCACATTTCTATTCGCTTATTGAGAATTTGATTTGCGATAAGACATGCTAGAAGCTCCTCCTGTTTTTACTCCAGGGATGCTTGAAGCCGTCGCATCCACATTCGCTCTGGACGTACCGAATATCGCGCTTCTTGTCTTACCTGCAACTACATCCGTCCGACGAGTTATTTTTGAACTGAATCAACTGGGGGTGAATGCCCACAGTCTCAATCTCGTGGATAATGAAGCCGGTCGGGCACACCTTCTGTCTAAGGACAGGAATATTCCCGATGAGAATCCCACATTACTTGTATCGACGCTTGCGACGACCCGAGGGATCGATTTTCCTGCGCTAACCCACGTTTTCCTCCTTGGACTTCCGGAAGGAGGCGCGGGAGACGTTTACCAGCATGTTGCAGGGAGAGTTGGCAGATTTGGCCGCCAAGGGAAAGTCATCACTATCGTGGAGGGACGACGGGAGAGCGAAGGGAAGAATGGTAAAGTTTGTGTCAGGGATGATTCGAAGAAGATGGATATTATGCTGAAGAAGCTTGGTATTGGTGCAACCAGGCTAGAGCACTTTGACTGAAATGTCCCATCGTGACCGTGCCCGTCGGTAGATTAGATATTCCTAAGGAAACAACCGTGGTATTCGGGGAGTATGGTAAACATGAGTTTTGATGTGGCGCCAGTGTGTGGGTGTTGTGACGGGATTATTAACGGCGTTGGTTGCTGTCTTGCACGCGAATCAAACCAATCATAGGTCCAAATAGGACAGTGGCATGATGTAACCTTAGTGCGAATGAATCCATGAATAGCCTGGTGGCTGACTTGCTAGCGCCGAGGCCACTGCTAGCCTGGCCTGGTTCTCTCCCTCCACGTAGAGGTTAACGTATACCCCCAGGCTGTAGTTCGGTTAAACCACTGTCATTGCTCACCGTGCTCAACGATGGCGAGAGCACCACCTGGCTCATACTTTATGTTAGGTCTTCTCCTTTGCTCATCCCTCTTTTTCCAGGTTTTGGCTCAGTCCACAAACCAGACCACTGCGAGCAGCGGTACACCTTCACCCACTGTCGCTGCAAATGTTACAGCGTTCTTGACGACTAGCTCCTACACGTTGACATCCGTCAGCCACTCGGGGAACATTGCAACCACTATCACCACCGTATTACCCACAGTGTACAACGCGACAGCCACTATTCATGCAAATTCATCCACACCAACATCCTCAGCCTCGGCCTCACCCACCCCGACTCCCATCGTCCTAGCTACTAGAATCACTCCGGCTTTCGGTGTACTAGGTGCGATCCTTATCATAACTGGACTACCAAGTGCGTTCTGGGGCCACAAGAATAGATGGTATTTTCTCTCATTTGTGGATCTATCATCTTCTCACTCGCAACTATGTAGGACATCCTTCTTCCTCATTGGTTTCTATACCCTTTCATTGGTCTGTTTCGTCCTTATCGTCAAGTTCGGTATTCTTCCTGCGATCAACACACCGAACAACACACTCCAGGGCATGTTCGTATTAGCCTCCGCCGTTGCTGGTATCATGGGTGGCGCGTTCACAATCTTCTTTTGGAAGGCCACTAAATACTTCATTGGCGCATGGGGTGGTTTTGCTTTCGGACTGTGGATACAATGCTTTAAAAATGGCGGTCTTATTACCCCTGTTGGCATGAGATGGATTCTGTATATAGGTAACTGTTTCCTCCGTAGTCCACCTTACCCACTGCTAACTTGTCACTCAGTATGCACCGTAGTTGCATTTGTCCTCTGCACAATACCCAAGATACATTGGCATATGCTTTTGGTTGCGACGGCCTTTGTTGGCTCGTCCGCATTTATACTTGGTGTGGATTGCTACACGACAGCTGGCTTGAAAGAGGTTTGTGTCACTTTCTATAGCCAGGATATGATAGCTTACGCATGATGGTAGTTCTACGTCTGGAATCTAGGTTTCACCACCCTGTTCCCGAAGTATATCGATAACGGTATTGCGTTTCCGGTAACCCAAACGATGGAAATTGAACTCGGGCTCATCGGAGCGATCGCTCTTATGGGTGGAGCCGTTCAGCTCCGCATCCTCCGCATCTTGCAGCGCAAACTCAAGGAAATTGCTGAGGAAGAAAAGAAGCGGGATGAAGAGGCCGAAATCAATGCTGCTGGCAAATTCCGAGAACTCTCAAAGGAGCAGGAGGAATGGGAGCAAGATCACCCACCACTTGGAATGCATGGCCGGACGGCCAGTGGCTACTCTGGGACTCCTTTAATGAAGGATTTCCCCACTAGGAGTTCTCAAGATGGGCGGGCTTCCGTATTCACGTTGGTTGGCGGGCGTGGTCGCTACACATCTGGAGTGTCTGACTTCATGGCTGCTCCCGCCCCTGACGAAGATATTAAGCGAGTCGCACGCGATTCTCAAGCGCCCGGTGCCTTGCCTGCTCTTGATCTTGGCCTCGGAATCCAACATGATGTCCCCTCTGGGTTCATCACCGATAACGATCCTGACAGCAGCGACACGAAACATAGCGATGTGAAGAAAGCTATCTCATTGGAGTTAGAAGATCTTGCGCGCAAGGAGGAGCTTCTTGCTGAAATTCAAACCATCAGACGCTCAATCGATGCACTCAGATCGGATACGCCTGGCCCTGACTCGGATGACTCCCGCTCTCGTCGTATCTCTCTGACCTCTCGTCGCACCCTCAGCTATGACCTTGATAATGCCATTGCTCCACGTCCACACACTCGCCCACCCAGACAACCAGATCCACGCAACCGTGTACAGTCCTTGGAACTTTCCAAGCTTATGGATACGCCTCCGCTTGGTGCATCTATTGGCCGTCCTACAAGTGTTCCTCTCCGCGACGATGATTGGGACTCGTATGTTCGTGACCGTAAGCTCCTACAACCCCCTGCTGGGGTGACTGCACCCAGTCCCGACGAGCCGTGTGTCCACGACAGGATCACTATCTGCACAACAACGCCTGCCTGTCCCGTCAGCTGTCACCGAAGCCCTCTCCCAAAGGAAACAACGGGAGATTTTGTTGGACCCTAGTGTTGGCCCAGATACAAGCGCAAAAGATACGTCGGACGAGGATGCGCCAATTGCCATGCTTGTAGCAGCCCACGCTCAAACGAAGAGGTCCAAATCATATTTCAACAGCACGATTCCAGCTGTGTTAGCACCTTCGCAGCTTCCTGCAGCTGCTACACGTTATCCTCCTGTCATTCTCTCCAGGAACACTTCATTGATACCTGAGCCCGAGCGAAGCAACATACCGATCGTCCTCCCCCCCACTCGACCCTTGAAGGCTGCGGTTGAGCCCTCCGGCAATATTCCTATGATCATTCCTCGTGGACAAAGCGCAAACATAGCAGCGCCAGTTGCCAAGAAGCCAGAACCTCAACGTGTTGCGACGTTTGAGGAAATGGAAGAACGGCATCGGGAGAAGATGCGGGGTCTCCAAGCTCCCATCACAGAGGCTGAGAAACAAAATGCGCAGGTCCAGGCTGCCAAGGATCGCTGGGAGCGCTCAAAGGCAGCGGAGCGGGAAGCAGTGAACAGACGGCAGGCTGAGAAGGCCGCAGAGATTGCACGAGAAGAGAAGGAAAAGGTGCGGCGCAGGTCAGAGGACGGTCTTGGCAAGACGGGACCCGAGGACGACAAGAACGTGGAACGTCGACACAAGGGAATAAGCGCTGACAAGCTTGCTGCTATTAGTGGTGTCAACAACCCGCCGTCGTCGAAACGCCAATCGGTACTGAGGGTGGAGGATTGGCAGCGGCATCAACATGATGTGGAACTTGGAATTCGGCCTGACCGCGCTGCTGGTGCAAAGCGAGAGTCCCGTGGGATGAAGGCTGAGGCAAACGCAACTGTTCCATTCCCTGGACAAAGTCGCCCAATGGACAGACGTCGTTCTGCTGGGGTCCCTCGGGACCCTCCTAGTTGAGGGACTGGGCCTGAGATAGTGTCAGATGTCAGGTACTACAATCACGTCACTCATTTCTAAGACACGTTGGACGTTCGACTTTCATGGACATATTTTTACGCCCGTCGTTTCACTAGGGTATCTCTTGCGACTTTGACAACATTAATATTGTTTTTCTTATCACTTTTTCTTGCATTATGCATATGTAGGACCATCGTAATACATATCGCACGACGATCCAAGTCTGTGTATGTCTCGTAGAATATAGATGCATTGACTTCATTTGTGGGGTCCCCTCGTCGCGGAGTTTGTAAGTTTTGACTTTCATATATGCTCGACATACCCCATAGAAGAGGTCCACCATGGCTATCCGTCGTTCCAATACCGCACCTCAGCCTCTGAAATATCAAGTTCGACCTAGCCTAGCCAGGGCAAAGTCTACCGTAGATGGCTTCAATTCTCGCTTAGATCAATCATCCCACCACGTCTTGGTGGCGACGGCGGCCTCCCCGCTTGCTTCCCCGCGTGATAGAGAGGATCCATTCAGTCTTACGGGTTTTTTTCCCGAGGGGGAACATTGGGAATGGTTACGACAAGAGCAAACATTTGAACCTATGCCGGGACCCGTCGTGTACGCACCGCATGGGGCTGAAGATGAGACGATAGAGGAGACAATCAAAGGAGAGGATAAAATGGGGGTGCTGTCAGTACTTAGTAAGTCCAAATCAACGAGATTATCATGAGCTGTGCTGATATATATATATGTCAAAGATTTTACACAGTGGAGTTCTTTAGGATGGCCTATACGATGGGCATTACATGCGATGTCTAGTATAGTTTAGATTTATTAATGTTATTATCATTATTATTGTATTTTTATACATATTTCTCACGGTTACACGTGTTTGTAATTGTTTTTTCTCACGTCTTAGTTGAAATCGTTCTTCTCTATTTTCCCACCTCTCTTCCTCGATTCCCACAGCTGGCTACCAACATCGGGCGGGAAACTGTTATGAGGACTTTCCATCCTTACTCTTCTTCACACATCCAAATGCCCGAAGCTGCTCTTCAACAGCAGCTGAATAAAACTTCAAGCACTTCATCACCAACATCACCCGTACAATCTACTTTGGATTTACTTGTAAACCCTACCTCTTCTCCTCATATACTTGCCAATAAAATTGGTGAACAGTTTCAGCATACAAACCATATACAATCATCATCAAGCAACAATGTCATATCTAATTCACAACCTCCAGTAACTTCCGCTCCTCCTTCTATTCTCTCTAACAACACCGATCCGAACGCGTCTCTTCAATCTCTACTTGCCGCAAACCGAAAAGATTCAACAGCCACAGATTCATTACATCAATGGGGTATTCCCCCTGTCCAACCTTCACCTCAGACACATCATTCTTCCCCCCATCTTCCACCCACAACAGCCCAGGTAAGTACAAAGTATATCACTGTACTGTACCACTCATATATCAACAAGTCTTCAAACGGCAAGAGTGGTAAGCGCAAACTCGACGAGACAGAGCCTGAAGATCCACATCCAAAAATCCGTCGACCTATTGTTCGCGAACATGTGGCGCAGCAGCACCAGCATCCTCTCCTTCAAATGACAACTGTCATGTGCTTGCATGCCGCTGTTGCGCAGAAATCTTATGGTAGCGAGAAACGCTTCCTTTGTCCTCCCCCTGTCGTGCATATTCAAGGTCCTGTATGGCAAATGCGCTCTCAACAACTTGCCATGTCAGTTGTCTCCGAGCAGGGTGAACGATCATTGGACCAAAAGACTAATTTGGACAACAACATGACCGGAAGCTTCAAATTCTTACACGTGACCGGCACAGCAAAGGCAAAGAGCTTCCAGCTGTCCCTCGACATAATAGAACCTCCTCCTTCTGCTTTGTCAGGCGAGAGCAGCGCTGATGGAACTCCAGGACGTGTTTGGGCCACCTTTGATTCAGCTCCTGTAACCATTATATCTAAGCCCTCGAAGAAGACAGCAAAAACGCGTAACATCTCTTCCTGTATCCTCGCCGGAGGTCCTGTGTCTCTTTTCAACAGGATCAATTCACAGACTGTACGCACCAAGTATATGACTATCGACAACTCTCAGCTTTGTGCAAGTAATATCACTTGGTCTGCGTTTAATGTGAACGTAGTGCGACGCCCCGATGACGCGCCGCCCACCAATGGTATGTGCTCACGTGACTGGAAAGTATTATACATGTTTACTCACGTTCACGTTCAGCCGGTCCGCAGCCTGTCACTTACGGATGTGAAGTCGTCCTTTCCGACACATTGTCTAATATCGCCACATCACCCCTTATCATTCGCAAAGTAGACAAAGGTCGCGTATCTGCCGAGGATGGTGGACCTGTGAGTCAAATGCAGAAAATTGCTCTGCAAAGAGTGAATCAGGATGGTACGAGACATTATTTGTCTGCCGCCGGTCCCATCCCTGGCGCTCCGAACTCTACCCCATCTGTCCCAGGGGCACCAGCACAGGGTGGAACACACCCCCTGATCTTCCAATCGCCTCGCATACGAGATGAGATGAAAGATGGCGTGCGAACCTTGATCGATGAAGTAGATGACTATTTATGTTGGACAATTGTGGGCATTTGTGGGTGCTTCTCATTGCCGTTTGGATTGCACTAATAATGCTTGAATAGCCAAATTTCAGTATACATTCTTTGATGCATTTGGTCAACATAGTAACTCTATACCCGAGATGCCCATCACACCTTTCCCGACGTTATTCACGGCGCCAGTGTACCGACCAACGAACAATATACTCGAAATGACCGTGTCACACTTCTTCTACGAAGACCCAAAGACACGAACTCAGATGCCACTGACCGTGTATTTAGGTGGCCTTGGTCCTCTCAGAGCTCGTTTCTATCAGGCTGCTCCCCCAGGACCGTTGACTAACATTGCCGCTTTCGGTGCTGCCATGCCCGGATCATCTAGTGAGGTAGTGGTGGGTGGAGGTGAAGATGTTGCAAGTTCCCCTGCCGACGCTGCATCACGATATCTCACCCAGCCCCCTTTACACACCATCGTGACAGTGGAGTTGCCTTCATTGGCTGAAATTATCAAAGCACTCGAAGAGGATGTAATGACTCCGAGCGTAATGACGCCGGATGGTCTCATCCATCGGCAATCACCGCAACACAGTGAACATGGAACGCCGCTTGACGGGCCCAATGGAAGTAGTTCACAATCACACCTTCCACCATCCATTGCTGGACGGAGTCTTCCCCTGTTGTTCATTCGCGCCTCGGATGGTATTGGTTATCACTCTGGACGAACAATCAGTTGCGAAAACGTGTTCCAAGCTATGGAGCTAGGGTCGATGGCACCTGGCGGTGTTCTCGCACCGCCAGGGGGATCAACAGACGCTACCTGGATCGCTGCGGCGCAAGCTGCGGCTGCGGCTGATGGAGGTTTGCACGGTTGGACGTTAAGAGTGATGTAACATTGATTCAGATATGCTGTCGATTCTCGTTGCTGTTGCTCTTCGTTTGCTCTGTCTTATCTTTCAGATCGTTGCTGTCGTCAAGCTCCTAGTTCCCGTACCTACCGTTCTTTCTGTCCGATTCATTTTCTTGAGTGGATTTCTGTAAGCCAGACATGCTGGCAAGACTTTTTTTTTTTTTTTATCGTATTGTCAATTCACGATGGGTCCATATTTGTTAGTTTAATCACAATACTTGCTAGCTATCGTCCGATATAGCCAACGCAAAGGCTGGAACGTTCGTGTCAAAATTTCTCTATGCGGCGGCCTAACATGGGTACGACCAACACGGGGAACGAGCGATTGGTGCGGGTTAATCGATTAGATCAGTACATAAATCAAGGGATGAACAAGATAGATAAATACCAGCTGTCTGGACATTTGGTTAACATTTGGTAGACACTGCTCCCTTAACTCTGCCATCAGGTAAGTCGACCGAACCCGAGCTTAAACCACATCGTATGATCCGCACCGGTTTTTTTATCGCTAGCGCCATTAAAAGACTCGAATCATCTTCTACGAGTACTGATATTCTCTCTTTCTCAGTTAATCGATTCCTGTCCAACGTCGCCAGAACCAACAAAATGTTCACCTACGATGGTATTCGATCGCAGCTCGAGTGGAACTCTACCTTGAGCGTCTCCAATGCCCCCCAGCCCACCGCTGATACCAAGTTCCTTCGTAAAGTCAGTCGTGAATTCCTAACATTTTATCCTTTATCTGATCACAACCTTCCAGACTTCGATCATCGCAACTATCGGTGCGCTTTTGTGTGATCGTCGATGTTTAGTCCAATATTGATTCTGTCTAGGCCCAAACACGAACACCGTCGAGAAACTTGCTGCCCTGAGACGCGCTGGTGTCAATGTTGGTCAGTGATGATCCCACATCCTGTTTCTACGACGACTGACTCGCTCCTCTCTTCAAGTTCGCATGAACTTCTCCCATGGTTCATATGATTACCACCAGAGTGTCATCGATAACACAAGGAAGATGATTGCGGGTAATTAAGAATTGTCTGAGTGAACGATTGTGTTTGATGACTGATCTCCAATGTTAGCGGATCCCAGTGGACGACCTGTCGCGATTGCTTTGGACACGGTGAGCCTCGTGCATTCGTATTTATAAATCCATGCTGATATTTGGCTAATAACAGAAAGGCCCCGAAATCCGCACAGGTTTGATGAGAGATGGAAAGGATGTATGCGTCTGATCTTTATCGCTGATGCCACCAGGTGATTGACATCATGTTTCACCTTGCTTCTCTAGGTGCCCATCAAGGCTGGCCATGAATTTATCATCTCAACAGACGACAAGTACAGCGAGATTTGTGACGACAAGGTCCTGTGGTTTGATTACGTACGTAAGAAACACTCGTTCGTATGTTTCACACTAATATATCTTTGTAGAAAAACTTGCCCAAGGTCACTGCTCCCGGCAAGCTCATCTACATCGACGATGGTGGGTTTCTTTGCGATCTCCTTTGAATCGTGCATTCATTCAAGAACTACCTAGGTATCCTCTCTCTGCTCGTCTTGGCTATCGAGGGCTCCAACGTTCGCGTACGTGCCGTGAACAATGGCACTCTCTCTTCTCGCAAGGGTGTAAACCTTCCAAAGACCGACGTCGACCTTCCTGCTCTCTCTGAGAAGGACAAGAAGGATTTGCTTTTCGGTGTCAAGAACGGTGTTGATATGATCTTCGCGTCATTTATCCGCCGCGGCCAGGATGTCAAAGACATTCGCACAGTTCTGGGGCCGGATGGTGCGAACATCAAAATCATCGTGAAGATCGAGAATGAGCAGGGCGTTGAAAACTTTGACGAGATTTTGCGAGAAACAGATGGTGTTATGGTTGCTCGTGGTGACCTCGGTATCGAGATCCCCGCAAGCCAGGTCTTCTTGGCACAAAAGATGATGATCGCGAAGTGCAACATCGCTGGGAAACCAGTCATTGTGGCAACTCAGATGCTCGAGGTACGTAGATAGCTCATCGTGCGATAGTGCGTTCGCTGAATACACGCTACTTATAGTCCATGACGGTATGTGTTAATCAACTTGTTTTTCTCTGAGCATTGCTCAATTAGATCACGCACAGTACAATCCCAGACCCACTCGTGCCGAAATCAGTGACGTGGCCAACGCTGTCCTTGATGGTGCCGATTGCGTCATGTTGTCGGGA